TACTTCTCTGTCACCCACATGCTTTCAATATGCCCCAACCCTTTTAGTCTGTTAGCTCTCATGATGCCAGTGATTAATGGTGATTTAAACAGATTATGTGTTACATTGTTGCTTCTCACTCTCCATTCCCCGCTGTTAGCATCTTTGATGGGTTCAAAGATTTGTCGTAAGACTGTTTTCGAAAACCTGCAATAAGGCCTCATCTCTTTTATTTATGCTTCAAGTTTCAGAGCCATATAAAATGGCTGGTCTTATCAATGTTTTATATATTTTGATCTTGGTTTTGCGAGACAGACACTTTGACTTTAGCAGATGTTGAAGGGCATAGTATACTTTATTTCTAGATTGTATTCTATATTGTATTTCTTCTCTCAGCATGTTGGAGCAGTTTAAGTTTGCACCCAAGTACTTCTATGCTTCCGTTCGTTTGATTTTCATTATCGACTTGGATGTGGCCGGAGTTTATATTCTTTCCATGTCTAGTTAGTATCCGTACAGAATAGTAAACATTTTATGTTTTGCATCCTTCAGTCAGTCTGTGGTAAATAATAACTAGGAATGAAAGAATCCTAAGTATTATAACAAGTAACTAAACTTGGAAATTGTCACTGACAGCTTAGTTAATGCATGAAAGCTGCATTAGCTTTCAACAAAACCAATCGTTCCATGTTGTTAGCATTAAGGTCGTGTATGCAGAAGCGGGTGTAAGGTAACTACTATCCGTATTCGGCCCGACCACAACTATTAGGCTGAATACTGAATAGTCAATAGGTCCACTATTCGACCCCCAAGCGAATATTCGGTTCAGCCCTAATTAATACATAAAATATTTCACCAGCCGACATATAAACTGGCTACCGGCACATTGAACACCATGACTCAACCACTGAACAAATGAAAGGTATTCCACAAGAAAGAAAAACACCGCTCACAGGGCTGCACCAAGCACTAAACTCAGTAGCTCAGGCAACAAAACCGTAGACTATCATCCATATGTGGAAACTGTAAAACGCTGTCAGAAGCAACAATAATTTCAAAGTTTAACATTCTGCCATGCCTAATCCTCCATTTTAGACCAGAAGTGTAAATACCAACTTTTATAAAGGCTTAATCCAAGGTCAGACAATAGATATTATCTCTCCATCCCTTTGATTCTGGTGTTCCTATGGAAGGTGCAATGGGCTAACTCGTCTAGAGGATGTTTTTTTTGTGTGTCATGAATGTTCTTATCACACATTTTACGTTGACATAACTGGTACAAGCCGACACCGACTTAGCCGTACGAAACATCAGTTTATTGACATGTTCAAACTTACAACCGCGCCCAGTTGTTGTCCTACGAAACAGCTTTTGCACACCATATCACGCAGACTTCAACAAGCAGGTTCCTCACACAGTCACTGACCAGAATCTGCACCCATGTATCTTGTTGATCTTTTGGACATTACACAGACTCCTGGCTTCACACGATGTCGTCTGGTTCTCCTTTCACAACAAGCAATCTCACGTTGACATTCTTACCATCAAACTCCCGTCCTTTCACTCCAACAGTTCAACACATACTAACCTGATCAGAATCGAGTCTAACTTATACCACGGGTTAGTTTCAAGTGGCAACACGTGGCGGTCCTTTACTTCCACGTCGCGACCTGTGGTCGCATCAACGTGTTTCACGTGATATCTCTTGGTCATCACCTTATTGAAAACCTCATATAATCCGAGTATCTGGAATATCTAAGTTTTTTGGGTTAACCTTGGGCCTACCCCCCAACCTTCCTAATGTGGGTGAAAATATCCCCCATTACAGAAGGTACCGCACCAGAGCCTTTGAGTCCGCTCAAGAATCTAGGCCATCAAAAAAATATAATTTAGACCAGTGAGTATATGGTTCACATTTTACCCTATTGTCTGCAATGAAAAACTGTATAATACTGAAAGAGCTGACTTCATATCTAGCGACTGATTACTTTTGCTTACTGAAAGCAATATACTCTTACAACAAAATGAGTTAGTGTAATATATGAGTCCAAAAAGAAACATGTCTGTCATCAGGCTTGCATGGCTTGATATGACTGAGGTCAGATACTTATCTTGCATGTTATGCTTAGGAGATTCTGGTGCTCAGGAATATGAGAAGATAGTCTTCAGGCAAGTGCACCAATGGCTATTAGGTCATGCAGGCAGGTGTTGTTGTCTTTTGGAAGATGGCAGCTCTTAATCCAGGTATGGTTACCACAGCTTTCAATGTTCATTTTCTTTAAATCCATGTTCTTTTAACTGTGGTCTGCAGATCAATTTAGGTCCTTGGAAATTTCCTAGCAGCCTGCTTCAAAATGGCCATCCAATCTTATACTGTCAAGTGTAGAAACCAAATGAAAAAAAAATGTGTGTAAATGCAACTCTTCCTTTTTAATAAACAATCCTTCAGTCACTTGTATCAGATTTTCTAATCTGAAGAAGTAATTCAACTTTAAGAAATAAATCAACAGCCTCAAGGTTTTCCCACAGATGAAAAATCTGTAAGAGACACACACAAAACAGCAAAAGACACAAGAGTGACTAAGATGGTAACAAATCCAGTTTTATAGTGTACTATCACACCTCCAATAGACAGCAGTGATGTCTTCCGCTTCTGCTTTCACCCTAAAAAGGGCAATAAACATGTTTTGAAATAGTTTACAGCAAGGCTGTAATTTCTGCACCTCTTGGCCCCAACACAAACAATTTAAGCAAACCCCTAAACAGTTTTCTTTAACATGCTAGTTAGGGAAGGCATTTCTCCCAAAACTGGCCTTGGAACTCATATGGGGAAGATAGCGATCTAATGGATTGGCAGAACTGGAGGCAGGGAATTTTCTAGATCCACTGTAGTCAACCTTCATTAGGGAGACAGAACCTGTCTGACTTTGTCAAAGTAAGCAAATGATGTTCTCTTGAAACAGTGCTAACATTAAAAAAAATGTTTAGTGCTAATGCCAAGGCCAGTATTCTGTTTAAATAAGTACAAGCACACACAAGATGTTTGATGTTAAAAAAAAAGATGTGACTTTGCATGTGATTGCAATTTATGGAGATAAAATAGGATACCAGAACATTACACAATTACATAATTTTTGTTCATCACCAAAATAAGTGCTTTATTCAAGCAACATTAGATATCATAATTTATAAAGTGCATGTACAAATACAGAACTGATAACAAGAGTGGCTATTTCTGTCCCACATCAGAACAAGGTATATTGAATGCAAGGATCATGATGAAACTGGTACCATCATCTACAAGCACATGCAGAACAGATAGCTGAAAACATTTTGCAAGCCTGTCATATGTTTCAGAAACTGGAAATGAACACTGGTCACAGAAAGCCCCCGTGGCATAGCAGTAGCAAGATGTTTGCCTCTGGTCCAAAGATCATGGGTTCAAATCTGCACTGCCAGATTTTATTTACTTATTTTTTGTGTAAACGTGACCTTGGCTACCAAGTTGACCAAGCCTAAAATAGGTAGCAGGTAATGTTCTGGAATGTAAAGGCGACAGAGTCATGTTGACAACATTGAGTGCCTACCCGTCCATAAAATATAGGTCCAGCATTGTATATCCTATAGCGGCGACAGAGTCATGTTGACAACATTGAGTGCCTACCCGTCCATAAAATATAGGTCCAGCATTGTATATCCTATAGCGGCGACAGAGTCATGTTGACAACATTGAGTGCCTACCCGTCCATAAAATATAGGTCCAGCATTGTATATCCTATAGCGGCGACAGAGTCATGTTGACAACATTGAGTGCCTACCCGTCCATAAAATATAGGTCGAGCATTGTATATATCCTATAGCGGCGACAGAGTCATGTTGACAACATTGAGTGCCTACCCGTCCATAAAATATAGGTCCAGCATTGTATATCCTATAGCGGCGACAGAGTCATGTTGACAACATTGAGTGCCTACCCGTCCATAAAATATAGGTCCAGCATTGTATATCCTATAGCGGCGACAGAGTCATGTTGACAACATTGAGTGCCTACCCGTCCATAAAATATAGGTCCAGCATTGTATATCCTATAGCGGCGACAGAGTCATGTTGACAACATTGAGTGCCTACCCGTCCATAAAATATAGGTCCAGCATTGTATATCCTATAGCGGCGACAGAGTCATGTTGACAACATTGAGTGCCTACCCGTCCATAAAATATAGGTCCAGCATTGTATATCCTATAGCGGCGACAGAGTCATGTTGACAACATTGAGTGCCTACCCGTCCATAAAATATAGGTCCAGCATTGTATATCCTATAGCGGCGTCGGTGGCTTTTAGGTACTTTTATTTTTTACACTGGTCACAAGGACAAAATTAACGCAGGAAAGAGCTAGCAACAACGTCTAGCTAGGAAGTTACCAGGGAATCTGGCCGACACTCAACATTCAAGGGAAAGGCAAGACTGATGTACAATCGGACAGTTACTGGTACCATCAGAAGTGAAACTCTTTGCTTGCTGCTGAAGATGGGGACAGACCACACATGGGAATGTTCCGAGTGCTATGATATTGATTTCTTATCCAAAATTCAACACTCATCTAAGAGCTTTGCTTTGCAGCAACATTAACCAACCAGGTGCTGTCTTCCCAATGAAAGTTAGCTACAATGGATCTCTAATAGTGTCTCTATCTTTACTCTTGGCTCTAGACTGCTTACTGTCCCTCTCTTAATGTTATCCTCCCATTTATATTGCTGTCTACCTCCTTCTTGCTTGCATTCTGTTTTTCTTTCAAGCATGTTTTTTCTTTTTAAATAGGAGTGCTATATCTTTCAGTACGGCCAACATATTTTAGGTTTCTTATACTTCTTTCAGCAACTCTCTCTTTTCATCCCCAGTCTGTTCAGAACCTCTGTATTTGACCTTTAGACCTCAGGACAATATGTTCTTGATTGTTAAAATTATTAGGTAAAGATTTAGAAGAAAAACAATGTCTATTTCACTAGTACCGTAACTGAATCTAACTGGGCAATGGCACAGAGGTCACACATTCATAATATTCATCCTGGCCTGTGGAGAATCTCTCAGAAAGATGGATGCTGGATATATGCTGCGATCCAAAATTGAAATCTGGAAATTTCTGTAACAGAAGAGATAGAGAGAGAAAGAGAGACACTGTTAGTTACTGACTATGAAAGCCAGAATTAAAATAATTAACTTCTTCTTCAGCATTTCTGGAGGTTCATTGCTGCAGATATTACCTGCCTCCATCCATCTCTCTGGTTGGCCTTCTCTTTCCAGCAGTTGGTGACACCAAGTGTTTAAGGTCTGTCTGGACATATCTCCCCATCATATTTTTTGGTCTACCTCATGGTATACGACCATTAATCTCTCTTGTGTATAGTTTTCACTTCTCTGTCATCTGACATTCTCTCAATATGCCCCAATCATTTCAGTCTATTAGCTCTCATGATGCCAGTTATCAATGGTGATTTAAACAGATTATGTGTTACGTTGTTGCTTCTCACTCTCCATTTCCCGGTGTTTACCTCTTTGATGAGTCTAAAGATTCGTCGTAAGACTGTTTTCAAAAACCTGTAATAAGCTTCATCTCTTTAATTGTGCTCCAAGTTTCAGAGCCTTATAAAATGACAGGACTTATCAACGTTTGATATATTTTGATCTTAGTGTTGTGAGACAGACACTTTTACTTTAACAGATGTTGAATAGCATAGTATACTTTATTTCCAGATTGTATTCTAGATTGTATTTCTTCTCTCAGCACGCTGAGCAGTTGAAGTTTGCACCCAAGTATAACTAACAAATAACTAACAATAATCATTGACAATATTTTATGCAATAAATCCTAAATTTTTTTTTTGGGGGGGGGGGGGGGGGGTAGGGGAGGGGGGGCATGAATAAATCCACTGAACGCTAACAAAAATATCATAAAAGGACTAATCAGAGGTGTTTCCTTCATAGTTGAAGTGCATCTGCCTACAAGGCAAAGAAACCAATAGTCTGCATACAGGTAAGCCAGACATGTAAAATAGTTGTGCATGCAAAACTCCAGTTCTGGAACAAGATCAACGTCCAGAAGTGACAAACAACCAGAACTTTCTACTGGATATTACAGTCGGTGAATGCTAAGAAGAAGAAGAAATATAATAGTGTAAGTCCCTGTATAACTATTTTTGTTCTACCAAAGGGAATGTATTCCATTTAATGATTCACTCTGTGTTTATTAATTACCCCTTTTCATTTATTTCTTTAAAAAATATTAAAAATGGAAATACATAATTTTTTATAAAAATGTATCAGACCTGTGTAAAATGGGGTTTTAAAAAGGATGATTTGTTTCAGCATTCCCTGGTTCTTGGGCCATTTTCTCCAGGGTTTCCAGGACACAAGGGTTTCCTGCAAAATCCAACCAGTGATGAACAAGATCATAAAGGTCAGGTGCAAGTTGGTGGAGGACCCATGCTCCATTAGGAGTTGAAACACAGCAGCAGAAGAAATTTACCTTCAGAATACCAGAGGCATCAAAAGACTCCCGCAGCTTGTTTCCTCGTCTAGAATTATGGTCGACTTTTGGCACTGAAGTACCTGAGGGATCTTTCCTCATCAAAGTATTCATTACAGTCACATGTAGCTTTGACACGGTCATACTCTCGCTGCATGAGGTCTGCACTTGTGAACCTGTCTACAAGTCTGTCCGCAAGAAGTTGCAGTCTACAGGAGATGAAATGTATTTGGTTTTTTAAGTGAATATGATATCAGCAGGTGGTCTTAGGAAAAAGAAATATGGTGTAAGTAGATAGTTTATACATATATAGTAATACAGTATAAGTAAGTAGTTTTAATTAAAAGAAATATGGTGTCTAAGTAAAAACCGTTTAAGCAAATTGTGTACAAATCTATGGTAATACAGCATAAGTAGATAGTTTACCTAAAAGGAAACATGGAGTCTAAGTAAATATGGTTGGTATAAGTAAACTGTGTACAAATTTATGGTAATATAGCAGACAGTGTACCTAAAAGGAAACATGGTATCTATGTAAATATGGTTGGTATAAGTAAACCGTGTACAAATCTATGGTAAAACAGCATAAGTAAATATTTACCTAAAAGGTTGCATTGTTTCTTAAGTAAATATGGTATAAGTAAACTGTGTAAATATCTATGGTAATATGGTATACCTAAGTAGTTTAAATAAAAAGGAATATGGTGTCTTGTCTAAGTAAATATGGTATAATTAAATTGTGTAAAATTCTATGGTAATATGGTATACCTAAGTAGTTTAAATAAAAGTAAATATGGTGTCTTGTCTAAGTAAATGTGGTATAAGTAAACTGTGTTCAAATCTACAGTATTATAGCATATGTAGATATCTTACTAGAATCAGATAAATGTAGTCAGCATTCCTTAGTCATGCCATTAAGACGGTAAACTAGAGCACAACAGAAGAATTGGAGAGGAAGAGACGAAAGAGTGATTTTGGTCACGTGTGAGGGAAAGTTAAGCCTATTATGATGTGTATAACAAGATATTCTGTACTTCATTTCAGGCGCCAGCAAGCTCTGTGTTGATTTTACGGATCCTTTTGCAAAACTCCTGCCACGTGTTCTTGTCTTGTGCTACAGATAATGGCTATATCAGCCTAAAAATGAGCTGGCAGGGGATCTCTTAGTTGGTGGCACCTAGAGATGAGGTACCCAGAAATCCTCTGGCACTCATGAGCTTCCCCTTCCCCGCCCGATGCACAGGTGATAAAGTACATTAAAAACTCATCTAAAAAAAGAGCGAAGTCTGCCAGTTGAATACCCTACTAAATGACAAACTCAGGGTCAAATGTCTATCATCCAAAAGTCTTATTAAAAGACTTGGTTCAAATGGCCATCGACTGAGATTCCAACTGTATAGCTGCTTAGGTTCAATTGTCCGTCCATCAAGTGTGCTACTGTACAAAAGCAAAGGTTCCGATGTTCCTCGCTCAAAGATCCTACTAAATGACACAAACGATTTAAACGACTTTTATCTATGGCCTCACTTGTTGAAGTGTAACAACCATACAGGGAAGTCCTGTCTGATGCATGCTGCCAGTGAATGTTGTAAAAAGTGCCCGGGAGCATCCATGTGAAAGGTGCCTTTGTCAAAGAAAAAAGCATAACATGCCGAGGAAGTGATATGCCCAGCTGTGCAGGGAATCAGAGTCGCAGGTCTGCAGACTGTTTCCTGGTGGTTCTTAAAGCAGCCATTATTGAGTGGAAGGTACAACATACAGATGCAAGATTAGGCACTCATGTGTAGGAGGTTCAGAAGATGACTTTGGCGAACCCAGTACTAGAGCGCCATGTATCAACTCTGTATTTATGGAGGCCTCCTTCTCTTAAGGGTTGGCCAACCTGCACTCAGGTGCCTTGTGGAGTAGTGGATGACCAAGTCATCACATAGATGAGGATAAAAAAATGACCCTGAAACTAACCGGGAAGGTTAATCCAGATAACAAATGCTCAAAGAGAGTGGATGTGTAGGCCAAAAGGTACATATATATCAGCTATGCTTTAAACAGGCACAACACATTTACATCACTCAGACAAATGATGAAGAAGAGAACAACTCTACTGCATTTCTCCACAATATATGGTTTAGCTCACAGCCCTGGCACTGATAAAATTTTGTCACCATAATTAAATCTTTTCTTCTCATTTTCTTTTCAAATAAATCCCTACTAGTTTATGAATCCATGACGTCCTTATTGTGAAACTCCTTCTACCTCTGATTTGCAACTACTATATGCCCAGGGTCATCTTAATGTGTTGGCACACAAAGTAGACAGATGCCTGCAGGTCCCACATGCACAGGGTATATCCAAACACAGACCAGTATTCAACACTAATTTATATTCTTACTCTAGTGAGTTTTTTTACAGGCAGGGCCAGGTGCCCTCTGTGCCTAAAAGCCTAAAATTTTGTTAATATGGTTGTGTATATAATCACTAGGTGCTACAGTAATCTAATGTGCTAGACTCTCACCTGGCAGCACAAAGGTCTTGGGTTCGAATCCAGACCCCAGGTTGACCTACTTGTAATGAGTACCAGGTTATATCCTGGGAAGACAGGTGACTGGCATGATGCTGACCTTATCACCCACCAAGTTCATAAATACAAGTCTAGCATCTAATACCAGATGTGAATCTAGCATAAAAAGGGTTCTTCAATTACTTAAACCACTGTTTATGCAAATCTGTTAAATCATATTATGGTTAATTCAAAATAAAGGATGTCTGGAATATAAAGATCTGAAGAAAACAAAACAGAACCAGCTGCTGTGTACACATTTCTACTGATACAAAAGATGAAAACTGTTACCTCATCTCGTCTTCTTCTTCGCATTCACCAGCTGTAAACCAGGAAAGTTCTGGTTGTTCATCCACTTCTGGAATTTAGTCTTGCTTCAGAAATGTTTGAGTTTTAGTGTGCAATCCTTTTTACAGATCTGGCTTATCTGTATGCAGACAGCTGGTCCCTTGCCTTTCAGGCAGATGCATCCCAACTTTAAAGGAAACACCCCTAATTAGTCACCTTGTATGACATGCTTACTGTCTATTCTTAACCCCCCTCCCCCTCAAATGGGGCACCTCATCTCATAAGGTCATGACTTAAAATAAGTGAAGGCCTATGCCCCACTCCAGTATCTAGCAGGTAACTAAATTTGTTTTTCTTTTCTGTGCATTCTTCACAATGTGTGCTGATTTTGATTTCATTAAGACAGTTCCCGATTCTGTGCATCCATCTTCTGCAATGTGTTTTCTTTGTTATGTCTTCATTACAGTTCATCAATGTGGCTTTTTATAATAACCGGAGTAGGGAACTGTCTGTCTGATGTGTAACTATTCTGAGAAAACAATCACCTGCCAGTTTGGAAGGTAACACTACTTAAAAATGTTACGCTGTCACAGCTTACAGTTACAGTATGAAATGGTCGGCACTCACCGTTCACAAGCTTCTCCTGGTTCAATTTTAGCATAGAGTACATCAACTGCTCCTGGGTCATCATTCATATACTCCAGACCTTTCACCTGAACTTCTAACCTTTGACCTCTTAGTATAGGTCTATAGAAACATGAAACAAAAAAATAGGTCTATTACATGTCATTTGGTTCCATTAAGATGTTGTTCAAGATTAGCAGCAGCATTGTGGTTTCAATCTTCACAACTGCTGGTTGCAAGGGAAAGTCTGGGAGATTTCAGACAAGACAGTAAGTCGGACACTTTGTCGTAGACAGTGACAGCCATGAATGACTATGCCTCAAAGAAAGTCAGTGTGTTCATAACTGATGATGTGGAGAAGTGGTCAAGCCAGTTGCCTCATGCACTGAAAGCTTTACTGTTTGCTTTACCAATGCTTTGTTCAGTTCATAAAGGCAGTTTTAAACAGAGATTTCTGGGGATTGTCCCTTGTGATAGGGAGTTAGTGCTTTATATGATACTCTAGGCAGGCAACAGTTGTTCTGTGGAAAGAGACCTAGCCATATGGACTGCCCAGTGCAACAAAGTCAATTTTCTTGACCTAATTTTTAACTTGCAGAAACCCTGGATATTAGCAGGACCCATTGGGAAAGCAAGGAGTAGTAATACAGTAAAAACTGAAGGCTTTAATGGAATGGAGGAACTGACTGTGTCCTATGGGATATGTAAAAAAAATCACAGAAGGATAATGACCCCACCAAGCATGTACAGAAGGTATGGCATGATAATTTCCTTCTCATCTCATCGAAAACTTGGCTCAAAATTAAACCACTCATAAACCAGTCACAGAAGACACAAGAGCTCAGTGTAAGCTGGTTGAAAAATTATGCTCCATTGAGAGAGGAAAGGCAGAGGGGACAGTTGAAAGAGAAGCAGAAAAGGCAGGAGGAGAATATTCAGGTGAAGGAGAGAAGAAGAAGAAGACAAGAAAGAAGAAGGTCCATTCAAATCAAAGTGTCTTGTTAATGACTCCATGGCAAACTCACTCTACCAACTCTGCCTTGCATGCATGTAGCAAAGAGGAAGCCTTCTCAATCTCCTTGGCACTCAGCAGAACAAGAGTTCCAACTGTCAAGTGCAGCTTCTTTGGGTTTTGAAACAAACTTGAGTCAAGGCCTCTGTCCTAGACCAGGAGAAACAAAACAACTGGCATAAGCAGAAGTATCATGAAATCTAAGACTGATACTGCTGCTGCGTAGTCATCATCCTATTGTGCTATTTTTATATCATACAAGGGACTTAGTCTCTTCTAGATCGCTTTCTACCTGGTAAAATATGTTTCATTTGCGTGGAATCCAGTCCAGCACCTTTGGCCTTTCTCAAAAAGTTCCTCTTGTGGTTTTTTCAAGTCCTTATTTCCTCAAACCAGTTTTTTCTGACTTCAGTATCTGTCTGGCAATTTTCTGTCCACTTCTTTTCAGGACATGTTCAATACGTTCCTATCTTCTATGACTTATAACTGTTAATACCAGTTCGGGGTGGGAGGTGGGTGAGTGGTGTCGAGGTATGGTTTCCGCCTTGAGCGCTTGAGGTCCCGATTCATGCCCCGGTAAAGGCTGGGATTTTTTCACGTGGACTTCTAGCAATTTCCCCTGGTCTCTGGGTAGTAAGATCGGACGCCCGTGTGTATTCTTGCACACTTAAAAAATATAAAAGAGAAACCTAACGGTGCTGCCCGGACAAAATTGGGAGTTAAAAATCTACCCAAAGTATTTCAGGATCCTCGTCGGTGCAAAGGAGTTTGCGCACTGCGCTGAATTTCTTCAGACTCAGGCTTCAGTTAGAAGTAGAATGGAGCCCTTATGGGTTACACCCGTGTGCCATGTTAATCTATCAAATAAACATAAACAATACCAGGGGCTTTTAACATATTTTTTTAATTTCTTTGCTTTTCTTGACTTAATCACATTCAGTGCTCGTCAATTTCCTCATGCTTTTGTTATCTCATAGTTGGTTAAACCTGACTTTCGCGGTGGCTGGTGACGAACTCCTTGTGGTCCAGGTTCACTCCTGGAGTAGGCAGAAAAGCCACATTTCTCCCAGATTAACAGTACCTATAATGGAATTAAGGCCGAAGGGTTGCGATATCCATAGTACCGAGCCAAAGGGTTTACAACTCATGGTTTCTGGATACTTAAAAAAGAAAAAAAAATCTGATGCCCTCATCTTTTGTTTTATGCCTTTAGTGGTCCTCCGTGTTCAGCCGTGTATGCTGAAACTGAAATAACATTAGCACTGAGAATATATAACTTGATTTGAGAATGATATAGATTTCAATATTTTGTTCAGGCTAGTAAAAGCTACTGTTGCCTTACCAATGTACACCAAATTTCTTTCTCTATGTTTACCTGGCAAATCAAAATTGCTACCTTAATAGGTAAACTAATCTGTTACTTTAATTCCTTTTGTCTATCTACCTCGATGGGAGATTTGAATACACGACCATCAGAAAAACAAGCTAGCCAATGTGTTATCATGGTCCATAAAATATAAAGGACATTTTTAGGTGAGAAACTGATGAAAATGTTCACTTTCACAAGAGACACAAGAAAAAGAAGAGTAGATGAAGAAAAATAAGAAGACCTCAGAGCATTTCAAACAAAACTCTGCAACCAGCACTTCATTTTAGGTTTTTCATCTCGGAAATACCCCAAAAAAGGGTAATAAATCCAGGGAATTCCAACCTAAACAAAAAATCCTTAAAGAAAAACCTACTTTTTTACTCTAGTCATTAATTCATACCCCCCCCCCCCCATTCCTAAAAAAATTATTTATCTATTTATTTTACTATATAAAGGAAGTAATCAAACACAAATGGAGTGAAGCATTACATAGAACACATTTATTAGTCGGGGTTTAAAATGTATCGGCTGACTCATAACGTGACCCCCATGAACTCGCAGTAATTCTAATATTAACGTTACAGGCAAATTAGGATAACAAAGTGACTTTTTTTTAAACACAGTTTTGTTCACAAGGCAAAGACACCCCCCCCCCCCCCCCCCAACATGCTATTTTTAGTAGGCCTGTGCGAATAGTGATTTTCACTATTTGGCTGAATACGAATAATGGGACCAACTATTCGGCCGAATACGAATAGTGTATAGTATATAAAATATATCAGGAAAAAAATCACATTCATAATGTCAAATGTACGCTGAACTTTTACTTCACACAAAGTAGCACAGAAGAGTCTTCTTCTTTAGCATTCTGAGCCCTTGAGGTTTACTGCTGCAGATATTACTCGTCTCCATTCATCTCTCTGGCTGGCCTTCTCTTCAGAATTTGTGACACCAGTTGTATGCAGGTCTGGCTGGACATTTTCTTTCAAACTTTTTTTTTTGTCTGCCTCGTGGTCTACGCCCATTCCTCTCTCAGGTGTATACTTATTTTACTTCTCTGTCATCCGACATGCTTTCAATATGCCCCAACCATTTTAGTCTGTTAGCTCTCATGATGCCAGTAATCAATGGTGACTTAAACAGATTATGTGTTACGTTGTTGCTTCTCACTCTCCATTCCCCGCTGTTAGCATCTTTGATGGATCCAAAGATTTGTCGTAAGACTGTTTTTGAAAACCTGTAATAAGGCCTCATCTCTTTTATTTATGCTTCAAGTTTCAGAGCCATATAAAACGACTGGTCTTATCAACGTTTTATATATTTTGATCTTGGTGTTGCGAGACAGACACTTTGACTTATGCAGATGTTGGAGGGCATAGTACACTTTATTTCTAGATTGTAATCTAGATTTTATTTCTTTTTTCAGCATGTTAGAGCAGTTGAAGTTTGCAACCGTTCGTTTGATTTTCATATTATCGACTTGGATGTGGCGGGAGTTTTTATTCTTTTCATGTCTAGTTAGTATTCGTACAGAATAGTAAACATTTAATGTTTTGCATCCTTCAGTCAGTCTTCGTTAACTAATAAAATGAAAGAATCCTAAGTATTATAACAAGTAACTAAACTTGGAAATTGTCACTGACAGCTTAGTTAATGCATGAAATGTCGTGAAATAATAGCCATTACGCATCGGTCTGTAAGGCTGATAACCTGTCTTACCTGTAATCTGCACAAAATTCAAACTTGGACTCGCCCAGAAATATATAGTCCCTTATATCTAGATATATAGGTCTTTATTGGACAACATTATTATGTCTGCCTTTTCTGGTTACTTTAACTAAACTCATCTCTTCGATATATATATTCAGGGAGTTATTTGAGGTTTCTTGGAAACCGATTTACTCTTGCCCATGTATACAAGGGACTTCTTTTGTTGAAGTGTTAAGTGACGCTATTCTCCTTGCCAGCTTCTCAAGCGTCCAGATGTGTTAATCTGTGCCTGTATAAAATTCATTTTTCAAGGCAATTGGAATGTCTCAGTTTTTACATATGCTTGGGTAAGTTAATTATAGTTTACGAGTACCTAGAATGATGTATGTAAAGTAGTCACTGCTGTTCAGTATCGGCTGTGTGATCCCACTTAGTTCGACCGTTCTTGATCGCTAGAGAAGCGGATTCGAAGTAGATATCTTCCTCTGTACAGACTAAATAGCTTATGCCCTTCACCCATACTGGTAAAACTTAATACCCTTACAAGTAACGTTTGAAACTAACTAGAGAATCTTGCCAGAATTAGGTCGGGACTGTGTCGTTCCATTGTATGAGTATGGTTGACCCAGATCGGTTCAAGCTAGTGAATTACAGACAGTAAATATTGGATATATGTGTTAGACCACTGGTATATCTGCTTTCTCTTGCACTAAACAGACTTTATCCTGGAGAGGCCGCTTTTAGATGGGGGTTGATGACTGATGCTTGCTCTGTCTTTCCTGTCATTCTGGCAGAAGTTTCACAGTCCAACCAACACCCACCAACACTGTTACTTTCTTTTGACATCTCAACATGTAGAGATGGTTCAAAACAGCTACCAGTGCTAGTTCAAAGACATTGTGTGTTCCTTACTGGTGATAGAGACTTGCTAAGTACCAGTACAGTGCTGTGGTCCTCTATGGTGAGGTACTCTCTTACTACTTGATCCAGTGGAGCAGAATTCCCAGAGTCAAAGACAGTCGAATCATCCTTTTGAGGAAGGCATCATAGACAGAAAGAAGAGAAGATAAGTCTGATGCTTCGCATGATGTTGTGTTCCTCACAGCTCCTTGTGTCCAATGATGACATATAGTCACCTCCAGGACTGGCTGTCTGTCTAGTTTCCTTAGGATCTAGACATTAGTGCTGAGATTCTTTCACTGATAGCTGGAATTCACTTCAATTGTTTTTGTACAGATATTATACTAAATACATGCATTCATTTTCATGGCTGACTTAGGTTTCTCTATGTCACCTTCTTAAGTGTTTAGCAGTTGTATGTGTATGTATCTTCATTATATGTGTTAACATGGTTATGATAATGAACTATCATAACCTGGGGGCTTTCTTTAGTAAGTAGTGGGGGTGTCCAGCCAAGTGTGCCTAGAAATATTGTATTTATATACTGATATATTTTGTAGTGCCAATACTTGAGTTGCCCTACTCCAGAGATAAGTTGATCGTATATTGGCCACGGGGAATCCCTTAGACCAATACGAGCCAAACGACTCAACATAATTATCTCTGAGTGCTGTTGGTTCTGAAGGAGGGATCCTTACATTAGGCACGCGACAGGAGTGATATGTGACATGAAAGCTGCATTAGTTTTCAACAAAACCAATCGTTCCATGTTGTCAGTATTAAGGTCCTGTATGCAGAAGCGGGTTTAAGGTAACTACTTTTCGTATTCGGCCCGTCCGCAACTATTTGGCCGAATACCGAACAGTCAATAAGTCCACTATTTGGCGAATATTCGGTTGATCGTATATTGGCCACGGGGAATCCCTTAGACCAATACGAGCCAAACGACTCAACATAATTATCTCTGAGTGCTGTTGGTTCTGAAGGAGGGATCCTTACATTAGGCACGCGACAGGAGTGATATGTGACATAAAAGCTGCATTAGTTTTCAACAAAACCAATCGTTCCATGTTGTCAGTATTAAGGTCCTGTATGCAGAAGCGGGTTTAAGGTAACTACTTTTCGTATTCGGCCCGACCGCAACTATTTGGCCGAATACCGAACAGTCAATAAGTCCACTATTTGGCGAATATTCGGTACAACCCTAATTTTTAGTAAATATATTTATACCCAGGCCTCTTGAACACTGTGCAGGCACAAACAGAACTCAACATCATTAGCAGAAATGCCAGGTAAGAAGCATTAAGGGATTTAGTCACCAATGATTCAGGGCTTCTCAGACTGATAGGGTTAAGGGTATGACACCTTCTATCCTATTTTACAGTGCCTTGTATATAATATCAAACAAGAATGTGTAAACAATACTCACCCCATCAAAGATTTTCAGCACCTTCAACTTGAAATCCTCAAAACCCATAACCACCTCATCTGAATTGATTGGTATGGACAAGAAGTGAGTAAATTGCTGTCGCTGACGGGCAGAATCAATGATAACATCAATTCTTGTCTTGGCAGAAATTATCCCTTTCTTGTCATGGCCTTCAATGACTGCAACAACAAAAATCACGATCATCCATTATCACCTACTACACATGATATTGTTGCTATACAAGCTACAGTCCTTTATTTACTATCTAGTCATGATCTGTAAACAGAATTAAGAAATCGAAGTAAAGATCAGCACAGCCAGGCACGCCAGAGAAGTCTGTAAACCAAAACAGAACTTGCACTATTAACCTTGGGATGCAGATATGTATGCTGCAAAATGGGAGGTGGGGGGGGGGGGGGGGGGGGGGGGGTAGGGGGGGGGGGGGGGGGGCGGGGGCTCCTATGGGTGTTTCTGGAGTGAAGATAAACCAACTCATAACTCAAATGGGATTATTTAAAAATAAATTTATTTTTCTGTCAAAAAGGAAAAAAAATACGAAATTATCTTCTCCTTTGTTTTAGCATTCACTAGCAGTAAACTCTGGCAGAAAATTCTGGTTGTTCATCCACTTCGGGACTTTTGTCTTGTTCCAGAACTTGGGCTTTGCGTGCACATTCATTTTACAGGTGTGACTTATTGGTAGGCAGACTGTTGGAGCCACGCCATATAAGCAGGTGCATCTCGACTTCAAAGGAAGCACCTCAAAGTAGCCTCTTATGGCATGCTTGTTAAGGGGGCAGAGAGTATATTCTTATTCTCCCAAAATAGGGCCCCAAAACCCAGATGGGGAATACAATCATAACATAATGTTTCAAATAATCTGTAATATAACTACTGCTTCAATTTCCAGTTGGTGTTTGTGGCTTAGGAGTTGCGAATGCGCTTCATAATGCCTGGGTGCAGAGTTCGATCCCAGCTGCAGACGATCTGTCTTGCATTGGTTTTGACAGTGGTACCGACAGCTCATCGTTCAGAAAGCAATGACAAACTAGTGAAAGTAAAATTTGCCTAGAAAAACCACAATAGCCCAAAAATGCTAGGGTTGGTTCTGCAATGTACTGTAAAGAATACGCAACTAACTTTTTTGTTTTTCAATTTCTAGATCAGTTTATATTCCTGCTAATCGTAGAACTGATGTATTCTTCTTCTTCTTCATGTTCATTAGCTGTAAACTCCAGCAGAAAGTTCTGGTTGTTCACCCTTGTTCACCCACCTCTGGATTTTAAAGTGTTCCAGAACCTGATTTTTGCATGTATATCCTTTATATGGATTCATTTGTACGTAAACTGTTGGTTCCTTGCCTCTCAGGCGGATGCACTCTGACTTCGAAGGAAACCCCCAATTAATTTACTCTACGACATGCTTGTTGGTTTGCACTGGGTCTATTCTTGTCTTCCCACATTGCGGCCCCGGAACTCATACAGGGGGCTGATGTATTTAAAGTGTGCAACTTCTTCATTTTTATTCTAATATTTCAATGATTTTAGTTTTGTCTATGGGTGTACATACTACAGTAAATTAAATGTTATCTTACCAATTACTTCCTGTTTATCCCCAACTTTTGGGATGTGAATCTGTGTGTGAGTTTCCACCTGAAGCCGTGCCCTGGTCTCTCCTTTTTTGCCTATAATGAACTTGTAATAGGCACTGGGTACTTCCATTTTCAAACGAAAACCTTTGCTAGTCTCTTCTATGTCCACATCCAAGCCACAGACTTCATCATTGTAAGCTGTGCTTGAGAACTCTGTAAAGATATAATTATCATTTATTAGCTTCTCAAGTTCTTTCTTGTTGTTCGTCTGTCACTAGTGATGAAGACTACTTTTCATCCAAAGTAGTAATGATCAATGATTATGAGTACAAAGGTGGCTGATAAGTCTAATATGAGCCTAGAAAGTTCTTGAGCAGTGAGGGCAACAGTTGGAAGCCTATGTTAAGTGTGAGATTAGCGATACGGTTATTTCTAGTCTGCTGCCATTTCTCTGCCTTGAAAAAGATTGACGACAACTGGATGACAACTGGATGATAACTGGATGAAAGTGACTTGTGCAAGGTCTTGAAGTGAGGAAGAGTTGCGCAATTCATTGACCTCGATCTCTCCCTGTGCCCATCTTGATCCAATGGCACGACAATGTCAAGACAACTGGAAATGGACCTAGGTGCAGTGGATGACCAAGGTGTCTTAAGTGCCCTGGCCTGCTTGAAGCTCTCCACAGAGCCTAGATGGTAATTGCCTTCTTGTCCGTTGAACCATAAGAGGTTTCATCTGCACAATCTGCATGCAAACTTTGCATGCTAGGTAGGCATATCCCAATCACCGAGTAGTGTAGAACCAGGTCAGCTACCCTCTCCTGGTTTAGCCAGCTCGCCAAAGCTGTTGTCCAGGGGGTGGCTGCTGCCGCATGCTGACAGCTGCTGGGAGCTACAGGAGAGGGCTGAGTGCCAGACCTAGCCCAGTGGTGGTGAACTGAACAAAGAAGGACATTACGGTCCCCTTGCCAGAGGTACTACTAGTATCTGGCACCCCAGACCCCCACCCCGCCAAGTTCTTACTTACTTACTTAGTCAATGTTCTTCTACCTTAGGTTGTATAGGTTTGCCAGAGAGATCGCCGGACTTCTTTATCTGCAGTTTTCTTTTTGGCTTTGTTCCATTCCAGTCCTCTGTCAGTCAGGGACTGTCGGATGTTGTCTTCCAGTAAATCCTGGGTCATGCTGAAGGTCCGACTGCCTGGTTCTTGACCTCACTTGCTGGCAATGGTGACCAATTCTCTCCCATTCTGCATACATGTTCAAGTCTAAACCATCGTAAGAGTAACTGATCCAATCCAGTTTGTCAGGCCCAGATTTCTTGATCATGACATATTGCCTGTTTGTGAACTTTGTCCTTTCTTGTCACTTTGGCCAAATTTTTCAGCTACTTCATTTCTGAGATCTGAAGCTGGCTTTTGTGATCTGTTGTCACTGCCCATGACTCACATCCATAGGTCAGGGCTGGCATATGGTTAGAGCGCTATACAGCCTTCTCAAGCTCATTGTTTTTAGGTCCTGTAGTTTGAGTAACAGAGTAAATGATGCAGTGTTGAGGTAAAAGATTAAACCAGCAAATACCAATCATCCATTTAGTTAAAAAAAGGTTAAAAAAGTAGACGACCATTCTGATGTCACTGGTGCATCCGGCCATAGTGACAGACCTAAATATCAAACAGCACATAGTGTGTATTGTGGTCAACATAATCCCAACCACCTTTATTTCCTAAGACATTTCCTGGTGCCCATTTTAGCTGGGTTAACCTGGGAGCCTAAGGCAGAGAGCAATTATAAAAATTTACTTCAAAGCATTTTCAAACTTCAGACCTTTTGACCAGCAGGCAGGCTTTAGCCTTACTGCTTTAGCCTTAGGTTAAGACATATGTCAAGACTACCATCAGAGAGCTGTGTCACTCAGACACAATGGAAGCAGATCTAGAGGTCAAGATGTGGATAGATGGACAATCCGAGGCTGCAAATACCTGCATCTATGAGGCATAAACCAAAGTTCTCACCCAATGCCTCTTCAAAACCTGAAACTGAAAGGCAGAACAGGACTAGAGGAGAAAAAAATAATAAGAAGAAGAAGAAGAAGAAGAAGAAGAAAGGAGAGGAGAAGAAGAGCAGCAAGGAGCAGCAGCAGATCCTTTTGCACCAAGCAAAAGTAAGGAGAGGAAGAGAAGGAAGAAGAGGGGGAGGAGGAAGAAGAAGAGGAGGAGGAAGAAGAAGTAGAAGCAGCAGTAGTAACAGCTGCAGCAGCAGCATCTATCCTTTTGCACCAAGCAAAAGTAAATCACAAGTTTAAGCATTTAGTTTCAGGGCTAAGCTCCATTAAAATGAAGGTGTCTGTCTAACAATCATCTGTATGTACCTTAGCAACTGTCTAGTTGGTGCTTCTAAATACTGTTGACACTATGCTAACGACTTAAATGTACCAGAGACACTTCCTGTGTAGCAGTGACACATCTACTTGATTTTCCTCAGTTTTAATTAAAAAAAAAAAAAACAATTAACCTCAGTTTCTGTGACAATATCACATCTTAACATTTGGAGAGTTTAACTAACCTGAGTCAAAGAAGTCTTCATTTTCAGGGTTGAAGGCTTTGCTGTCTTTGAGTGGGTTTTTTCTGTAGCATCGATTATCAATCCATATCAGTTGTGGTCTGAGAACTTCCATATTGGTGCTTCTGCGTCAGCTTTCCAGGAAAAATTAAATAAACATTTGTTGGCTACAATGGAATCAGGCTGTAGGGCAGTTTTTCAACCTTTTTCAGATAGCGCCCCCCCCCCCCCCCCTTTTTAATATATGGAACGAGCCCCATCGCCCTCCGTTAAAAAGTTATCAAAAAGAATTATCAAAAAGAAAAATCCCAAGCACTAATAACTAGAAACTGGAGAAAAACATCCACATAAATCAAAGTGTCAAAAAACATGCACAAACAATCACCAACAACTGGTAATTTAGTGTCCAAATTTTACTGTGATGGTTGACACTGATATGTCTTAAAGATATCTGCTATTTTTGGACTAAAGCTGGACAAGGCACATGGAAGACCACTCTTCGTATCGAAATGGCAGTGCTTTTTTTTTATTTATGACTGTTGATATTTTGTTTATAATTAATTAAAATGAAATAAATATTAATAAAATATCAAAATTGCCCCTTCAATAGTCCCTGCACAGGTTGAAAACCACTGCTGTAGAGAAAGTATCAATGAAGTCTTTAAGCAAACATCTTTCTCACAGTCTGTTAAAACTCTTCCTGTAACATGAAATTCTTATTCTGCTTTATATCCTCTTTTCTGCTTTAGGTGTCGAGGAAGATATAGGGTCTTGCTTCATAATCGTCTGGCTGCTTCGAACGTAGACATATCATAGTTGTGTAGAACCATGAATATGCTTCAGAAGATAGCAACAGGCGGTATGCGCTCTGAATGGGTAGAAAGCGCTTGTTTAAAAAGAATATGGCCGCCAAGCAGTATTCTACAGGCATGCCAACATGATTTACGGCTTTAGAAGCCTCAAATTTAAATAAAGTATGTGTTTATTCGATTTATCCGAAGTTAGATAGATAATGTAGCGAATTAGATGTGTTTTAGTCATTTATAGAGTCAAACTTTGATGAGGGATATTTCTAATGTGTACCTCACGCAAAAGTACAACAATAGCAAAGTCAGCTGGCACAAATAGAATAAACATTAGAGAAAATACTATTTTCTTCAGTGACAGTTAGTTCTAGTGCTATTCCCCTTATTATTTAGGAACATAGCTACAAAAGTACAGGCAAAGTGAGTGTTAGATTAACTTTGTTTTGTGTGAAGATTTTTATTGATTTTGGAGTCAGTTTTCTTTACCAAATAATGGTGCTCTGTTTTGATGCTTTTGATATATTCTAACCAGTTTTCATTGTACCATGATGGTAAGTGTAATTTTTTACATTTCCTGTTACTAACTTTTGTAAACATACGGTCTGTTTATGTACTAATAATTAACTATTCCTGAACAATCCCTGGTAACTTTGAAGTATAATATGTGTATGTTGCGCGGTAATTGAATTAGTATAGTCCGTTTTAATGTGAAATTGAAAAATTGCATGACCACCCCTTGGCCCTCTGATGTTCTAAACCCCCTGGGACCCAAAGAGTTAAAGACCCAGGCCAGTCATTATTAAACTCTGGCGCATTACGGAATCCACATATATTTCTACAAATGTCAATTTTTCTGTGGGACTGTTTCACAATGTAAAGATGTTATGTGCAGTTTTTCTAATACGTTGTTTCTCTACATAGATCAGCAGATCTTTTCAAGGTTATACTGTATTACAAGTCGTTCCCTTGTGGGATGCAATTTTTTTTTTTTGAAGCCCCACCCTGGCTTTTGCTGGAGGCGCTGAATACTGAATATAACGGCTATCGCCGAATAACGGGCATAAAATATGGTGGCCGCAAAAACACCCTAACAGAGCCTCAGTCACGTGTAAATTGCGCACTTCCGGCTACTTAATTTGCAGTTTTCTGGCGACTACTGCCACCGCCGAGAGTATCCCCCATGCGGCATGGATTGGGGTTAAACTAGATGGCTGGGACTCACGAGCAGCAGCTTCCGCATCTCCTGCAGCTTTGCTTGTGAGTCCTAGCCATCTAGTTTAGTCCCAATCCACACCGCGTGAGCAGCGTCGGGATACTCTCGGCAGTGGCAGTAGTCGCAGGAAAACCGTAAATTAGGTCGCCGGAAGTGCGCAATTGACACGTGACTGAGGCCCTGTTTTTGGCCGCCATCTTTTGTGCCCGTTATAGGGAGGATAGCCACTATTATAACTGGGCCATAAATTTGACCCAACGGCTGAAAGGGGTTTCTGGGGCCTCTCAGCGGGTGATCCTCAGCCGCATGGTGGCACTTTGTGTCACCTGTGTTTATCGCTTGTGTGATGTCTTGGTGGGGTACAACAAGAAAGAGAGAGAGAGATTATTTATAATATTTTGCGTGGTATTTCTCTTGTGATGTTATTGTGATGACGAATTATATTTGTGTGTATACTGTATGTGGTAGCAGTTAATTATTAGCTGCTACCACAGGATCAACAAAATACTACGCTCAAGTATAAATTAAAATATAAACAGACTAAATGTAAGTGACCAAACACACCGAAGACTCACAGTAGTCAGATGTTTGAAAATATTCCCCGAACACGGGACATAACTCTCACGATCAACCAGACGTCTGCTAACTAGTGATGGCGGCGGCATCTTACCAACCAATTGTTGTTCCCGGACATTATGATCCCATGTTCAAAGGTTTTACTTGCGCTATTTATCTGATTATTACTGCTCCTTAAATCACCTAATTATTAAACTCGAAATCTGATAGTTTTGAGTAGCGCGCCACTGTACGTACAACGATTTTCAGCTTTGAATTTATAATGTAAATAAATAATAGTTTAAATTTAAAATAAAATATTATTATTATGTTTAAATACTTTTAGCAGCTACTTCAGTCAAATTTTTAAAATGCCCTCTACACCAATAAAACCAGCACAGTTAGATAGCTGTAAACAATCTCTTTCCAATGGTACCTCATTTAGGCTTGTATGTCATTTCTGAGCTGAGATATGTAGGTTTTTGTGGAGATGAGATGTAAGAAACAGCCGCTAAAACTTGTGACCCAGAAACAAGAAGTTTTTTTCTGCGCAACCTAACTGCGCAGTTCTGTATCGGCTTTGTTGACATTGGACTGTCATTGGACAAGATGGCAGGCAATGAGACTCAGCCGCATGCGATTGCCTAAAAAATGTCACTGTAAATCTAAACAGCCAAAAACGGTAAAGAAATTTTATATACAAATGTAAAATTGGATGGAGAATTCAATTATAACTAGCATTACCACATCTGGTAATGTTTAAGGCCTAAAGCCAACTTTGAATACTTACCGCTATTTTCAATCAAACTGATGTAACAGAAAAACAGAGGACCTCCGGCTGTCGTAGACATGCGCTGTTAATAGAGTTCCTTTCCACCGTTTTCAGCTATTTAGAGTGGGTGAAAATCACACCAATCGCAAAATTTCGTGAGAGATTAGGACCCATCCTGAAACCCCAGCCGACATTTCCGAAGCAAGTTTCGAACGGTTTCCATGGTAACGGAAATTGCCAAAAGATCGCAAATTTCCTGACACCGTAGTCGCTACTTTTAGGGCTATTCTCCTCCGAACTTCGGGTACAAAAGATGGCGGCCGCAAAATATCCTTTCGAGCTCACGCGGCGTGGATTGGGGCTAAACTATATGGCTAGGACTCACGAGCAAAGCTGCAGGAGATGCGGGACTCGTGGCGGTGGTGGTAGTCGCCGGAAAACCGCAAATTAAGTCTCCGGAAACCGCAAATTAAGTCACGTGACTGAGTTTCGAAAGGATATTTGTCTCTCCTCCGAACTTCAACCCGATATTATGGCGGCCATAAAATATCCTTACGGGGCTCAGGCGTATGTAAAATGCGGACTTTCTGCCAAGGAACAAATCGCGGCAAAGCTAGGATTACTTGACAATTTCAAGAGACGCAACATTGCAGGCGATAATAGCGACCGTTGACAATTTCGAGCGTTTCTGCAGATGATAGTAGCATAGGAGAGCCGGATATTTTGCGGCCGCCATCTTTTGTGCCCGAAGTTTGGAGGATAGCCAAAAGTTGTTGTTCTGACTACTAATGGCAGCTGATTAACTATCAGATTATGTTTATATAATGGTGATGGGGTAATCTATTCGCTTTTTTAAGTTCTTCACTCTAGTTTATAGTTAGAATTTACAATGTTCAGAGATAATAGAAATAGGCTATCCTCTGAAAAACGGTCCCAAATTATCTAGGCGGAAAATATACCCTAACAGGGCCTCAGTCACGTGTCAATTGCGCATTTCCATCGTCTTATCTCCTGCAGCTTCCTTCATTGTATTTGCTCGTGAGTCCTAGCCATATAGTTTACCCTCAATCCACACCGCTCACGTGGCGTTGGGGACTCATGGCGGTAGTTGCCGGAAGTTCGCAATTCGGCGGTGGCGTTATAGTCCCCGGAAGTGCGCAATTGACACGTGACTGATGCCCTGTTAGGGTATATTTTCCGCCTCTATAATTTTTGACCATTATTCGGAGGATAGCCTATAAATATATTAATAACGGTCCCAAATAATCAAGGCCGGAAATATACCCTAACAGAGCCTCAGTCACATGTCAATTGCGGACTTCTTTCCAGCGACTATACCGCCACCGCCAAGAGTATCTCCCGCACCGCTACGCGAATTGGGGCTAAACTAGATAGCTGGGACTCACGAGCAAATAAAATAAAGGAAACTGGTGGAAATGTGGTAGCTGCTGCTCGTGAGTCCCAGACATCTTGTTTAGCTCCGCTCCACGCTCTCTGGGTGACTTTAACTCGGCGGAAGCTTTTCCGCTGTATGCTGTGTAATCACCAGAAAGAGGGCCGCAATTTACATGTGACTGAGGCCCTGTTAGGGTATATTTTCGGCCTTGATAATTTGGGACTGTTATTCGGAGGATAGCCAATATATATATATATGTTTGTGTGTGTGTATATATATATATATATATATATATATATATATATATATATATATATATATATATGTGTGTGTGTGTGTGTGTGTGTGTGTGCGTTTAATTCAGTGATTATTCATTTTTAAAAAAAACCTCTTCCACCCTTTAGTCATTTTGGGCATATAGGGCTAGACCTAGTGATATTTATACCGGATCAATCAGCACTCTGTGAGTGATATGGCATCATTATACCGGCCACCTTTACTTCCCAATACTTTACCTGGTACCCATTGAAGGCTGGGAGCCCAGGTCATTTTAAAAAAATGTCCTGCTCAGTCAGGACCTGAACACTCATCATTGATCATTTAACCTTTGTGCAGCATTTATCATTTTATCTCCGTGAAATAAATACAGCGCCGTTTAACTGTACCAGCAACTTTCGATGGACATATTGTTCTTCAAAACTACTGTAATAAATACTTTGGCAGCTTTTTTTTTTTTTCAATTGATTGACGTTCACCAGGACATCTCACTGAGTCGATAAACAACTAGTGACACTAAGTGCCACAATTCGGATGAGGGTCATCGGGTACAGGTGCCAGAAACCCATTCAACCCATAGGTTGGGTTATATTAGGGCCCCCAGAAACAGCCAATCTGGGGCTTTGAAAAAAAAAAATTTCTTTCCATAGTGGGACAAAGTATTACAGTGCAAATTTTTTTAAAGTCACTTTAAGTAGCAGTAGCTTTTGTCTAGAAAAAATTCATAAATAAAAGTAATATAAACTTGTTACAATTAACCTAAATGACAGGGTTATTTGTTTGTTTACAATTCACAGTGGATGTTTTCTTGCATGCTCCACTCAGAGAGCACATTGGGTTTGATGACATGGAAGTGAACATCATGTCACTTTGTTTACAACTTGACACATTGTGCAGACAAGAGTACACAACAGTAAGATAATTTCACATTTTGAAAAATAGTTTTGACAAAACTACTGTCACATCACTCGCCAAGTGCTGCTGAGTCTATAATATATAGGTCTAGCCCTTTACTCCCAATACGAATGAAAGGCGTGGAAATGGTTCTGTTACTTTACTTTCCTAATGTTTGTTCACCTTGCTTGTCTTTTTCTTCGGGTTAACCGGCTGTAAACTCTGGCGGAAAGTTCGGGTTGTTCATCCACCTCTAGACTGTAGACTTATTCCGGAACCTGAGTGTTGTGTGCACATCCATTTTACAGATCTGACTGATCTACATGCAGACTGTTGGTTCCTTGCCCGTCAGGCAAATGCAGTCCAACTTCAAAGGAAACTCCCAATTAGTTGACTCTTACGACATGCTTGTTGGGGAGGGGGTGGCGTCTGTTCTTCTTTTCCCCACAATGGGGCTCCAGAACCCACACGGGGAACCTTGCATGTGATTGTCGCTCACTGTATGAGGTATGATGCTTCATTTTTGGAGGTGTGGGCAGGCATAGACCCACTGTATCCTAACAGGCATATTGCAAAAGTTGACTAAATAGGAGTTAACTGAAATCAAATGTGCTTGGTAGAATAACACAGATATCACAGCTTAGCTGTGAACCACAATACAGTGTACCAACTACCATTTTTAAGGGAAGAATGTGGAAGAAAACAACAATAAAGATTTATACTGGAGGGAATAAAAGCAAAAAGTGAGCCCGCACAAATTTGAATCAACAGAGTGGAGATTCAGTTACTCCATTTTGAACAATCTTAGATAAGTAGAGGTGAGTAAGTAATGGTCCCTTTTCCATGCCTTTAGGCACATTGGACATATAGGGCTATACCTATATTTTATTTAAAAGTAACCACATTTAAAAGTAACTGCCTGTTTTACCAGGGTAACCGCAACAGGGCAGCCGCAGTGTCAGAGTCATGTCTTTCTGATTACAAAGTACAGGATGGAGGTAACGAATTGTGGAGGTTTCAAGAAATCTTAGCACTCTGCCATTGAACGATGTTTGAAAAATTTAAATGTGTTGTTTTTGGTGTCACATGTTATAATATTTGTCACTTCTGAATAAATATGAGGTACACTGACACACTGGAATGGCATTTTGTGATGGTGGTTCATATAGCTCTAGGCGGCAAACCTGCAGCTCCAGCAACCATCCAACACCACTCCAAGAATGAGGTAACTCAAGTTATGGGCACCTAGGATCTTGCAAGGCACAACTTGGCCAGAGACTCTCACCACATGCAAAGCCTCCAGACTAGATAGTGTCACTGTCCTAGTCAGATAAAGTGATTAGAGTTCTGATTAAATAACCAACACACACAGTCACAATGAAACTGAATAAAATGGAATGAAGGAAACCACCCAAGTCTCTTATAAATTCAAATTGAAACATGTAATAAGAATATCACAACAGAAAGAGGTTTAGGTGACTGAAGATGTGAGAGGACACACAAACAGAAAGACACAAGTAATGTCTCTGATAGTCAGACTCTCCACTGGACCACCACTGTTCAGATGTCATAATCAACATGGCTCCCAAGTGATGTAAGTACAAGTGTAGGCCTCTAACACAATATGTGCCGATGGCTGTGACCTCAGAACCTGTAAAATAGACTTATATGACTGGTTCCAGGGAAGACTGGAGTCCCTGTTCTTCAAAGTCACAAAGCTGCACACTCTGCTCTTGAGGCCAGGTGTCTTTTTAAAGTTGCAGGTAGAGTGCTCAGGTCTGCAGAATGTGCTGAGGTGTTTGTGGTCCTGTTTGACAGGCACACTGTGGGGACTCTACAATCTTTATTTAATGCATGTGGTAGTTGAGCCTGCAGTGTCCTGTTCGTAGATGGAAAATTGTTGTATGTTGCTTTCTGTTGAGTCTGCTGATGGGGTCTTGTGGATGTTTACTGTTAGTTTGTTCTCTCCACAATCCCTTGTATTTTCCTTTGATAAGTGTTCTGATTTCTGGTAATGACAATGAATGGGCATGTTGTTTCTCCTTTGTTCCATTTTTTGCAAGTCTGTCTGCTTACTCATTTCCTGGTATGCCACAGTGAGCCGGGATCAACTTAACAGTCCAAAAGAGAAGGGATGATGTACTGGTTTTGCGACGCGACATTCTGTTGGTGACGTGGGAGCATCACGCCGGCCACCTTTACTTTCCAGGACTTTTACCTGGTACTCTTTTTTTTTTTATGCAGGATCAACCTAGGATGACAGTTTGACTATTCTAACTGTTATTTACTGTAAATTTATCATTCAGCATCATTTACATGGAAATGAACATGGAAAAGCCTGCAGTACATTCAGTGACAAAGGTAAGGGAACAGTGAGCTTTTAGGTTGTTGTAGTGGTTAACATAAATAGCATCCTGTTCCAAAAAGCAGAGGTATTTGGACCATGTTAAACCTGGTGAGAACGGTGATGGAGGGTACAGTTTCTGGAAAACAAGGCAGAGGCTGACCTCAGTGAAGGTAGATACAGAAAATTAAAGATGCATTTGCTATGAAAGCCCATAGAGCAAGAGAATTGGCTAGAGAAAGAGGGGCTTTCAGGCATTCCATGATGAGAGCGAAATTCTATAAAGGACCTGCTTCTTTTAATGATGGGTGGTTAACAGAAGGAGCCATAGTGTTAGGATACAACTGCCAAGATAGTTGGTCCAGGTCATGTTCCCATTGTTCCTTGTCAGTGTAGCACTAATCTCAGCCCAGTCATATACAGAACAAAGAAGGAAAGTCAGACAATTTTCTGGCATGAAAAGGCAATGAGGAGGAAGACTGCTGACATCACCTTGATTGCCATGGCACAGAAAATATTAAATGCTAACATTTCATAGCCTGGTAAACTGCTGTAGGACTGTTACCTGAGTCGTTAACACAGGCTCATGTGACACCTGCATATCTCATCATCTCTGCATTTTTCTTCTCATTTTGGGTGAAGTACTAACCTCGCCTCAGTATGGGACACAATGTTTTGTTATTTTACAGCCCACACCCGGCTTTAGTCGGGGTACATGATATAGCCTAAGGGTTGAACAGGTTTCTGGGAATTTTACCTGGGTGATTCTCATCTGAATAGTGGCACTTTGTACTGTGTGTCTTCAGGTGTTTGTTGTTCATTGTGCAGTCCTGGTGGGGTTGATTCACCCCCCTCCCCCATTTTGGGAGCAAAATAACAGCCACTCTACCCTTTAACAAGCATGTCATAAAAGGTAACTAATCAAAGATTTGTTGAACTTGGATGCGTTGGGTCAAAGACATGGATATAGCAGCCTAGCTGTGAACTACAGCATAGCAACCATCTTTTTTAGGGGGAGCAGAAAAGAAAAAGGTTTCTTTTTGGTCCACAACATTCTTGTCACAAATATCTCTCCATTGTCTCCAGTTTCATTTTCTTTATGGGCACCAAGTCAAGGTAGCCGGCATGATCACCCACTGTGTGCCGATTGGGATAACAAAATATAGGCCTAGCCCTATATGAACAAAGCGTGTGGAAAAGGGTTCTTTGTTTTTCTTTTTTTACAGTAACCTTTACATGACGTCGCAAACTGACCCCAACAGTAGTTTTTTATTTGTGGTTTTATTAGTGCTGAATAGTTGACAGTCACGGTCAACGCAAACTGCCGACTAACCCGAACCATGTAATAATTATGGAAACTGCACTCACAACCTTTAGGCATCCTTTGGATGTGTCTCTCCCAGGTCATATTTGGGAAATGAAGGCACTGGCTGGCTCTGCACCACTTGGTGGTGAATTGCTGTATGACAGATAGTGAGGGCCATTTGAGCGAGTGAACAGTGTGGACAGATAGAATCATTATGGTCTGAGGAGAAGCTGCGAGGAGTTGTTACCGGGATCTGGCCGACGCTCAACACGTGACTATTGGATAAAGAGAATCAGACGCTTACTGTACCGAATTATTGGAACCCCGCGTGCTGCTGCAGATGGGGACTGAGCACTTAGGGGAGGGTCCAGAGTTTGTGTTGTTGATTCTTAATTCATTTACCTAGTAGTCCACAATTATTGTAACATTATGTTTCCATGTTCATTGACTACGATAGTTTGATACCTGTCAAATATAAAGGCAATACATGCTAGGATAAAAGAGAAAGAGCTAAGATGAACTGTTTGTGGTGCATTCATTTAGTAGATGTATATTTTCCACATTGACATAGCTGATATTATTGAAATAATGTATTTGTTGATGAAATTCAAGCTGACATGGTGGTCAGAAACATGCAGCATGTTCTTGCCAGATATCATGACCCCGATCACCTAGAGGTAAGTGTCAGACACTTTGTGATCTATGTTAATAGAATATGGCTCTTGAATGACTTGATTACATGTAGTTAGGTTAGGAAACAATCAAGCATGTTCCCACAAGGACAGCTTTGTTCATATTATTGTTACAGTCTTCTTTCAAAGACAGTGTAAAATAATGTAGTACTGATAAGAGTGTGATAAGCACAAGTTGTAGTAAAGACAGCTCAAGCCCACACACAAGTTTAAACTAAGCAGTATCTACAATACTGCACAGATCTGTCCACCTTAGCCAGCATGTGTTTTTAGCTGCCTGACATCCATCTTTGCCTGATGTCCCTTCTCTCCATAGCATAAAGCCTAGACAATTTTATAGAGACCATGTGACTGTAGGTCTGTGACAGCATGTGCTAGGCTACATGAATTTGGAGTTGGTTCCACCAATAAAGGGCATGTATATGTGAGGAAGAGTTTAATGTGTGTACAACCAATGGGATACCGAAACGATCTGCATCTTAAGACATTTGCTGTGGGATACAGAGTATCTGCGGGTTATGTCTGGTGTGCTGTGATGCTGATTCTTAACCCAGTCGTTCCGTGAGAAGTAGCAAAACTGAAACTTCCTGTTGAGCCCAGTCCCCCGTAAATATAACTTAACTGACTTTTTGCAGTAATATGTTTTTAAGAAGCATAGTTAACGCTGTTGGTTGTGTTTGTGCCTATTCAGCATTTGTGAGGTCAGGATCTTAATATATTTACTAAAATGGTCATTTAGGGCACTTTTCTGCTGAACTACTTAAAAAAAACTTATATGACATCAAATATTCTCCATATCCTCAGTGGTAGAGGTCACAACATGAGTCACCCAAAACATATTCTCTTTTTAGGCCCCAGGAAATGTATTTAGTTTAATGCTTTACTGTTCATGTTTATTGATTAGTTGTGTATCCTTTACAGGGTGTTGCAGAACCCACGCCAGCATTTATTGGCTGTTGTGGTTTTTCTAGGCAAATTTTACATTTAGTAGTTTGCCGTTACTTGCTGAACAGTCTAATCTCGGTACCAATGTCGAAACAAATGCAAACGTCTGTTGCTAAATCGCTTGCAGCTGGATCGAACCCGACACCCTGGCATTATGAAGCACGTTCGCAATGCCTAAGCCACAGACGCTAACTATATATATATATATATTTTAAAGAAAACGTTTTTTTAATTTTTTTTTAAATATGGGTAAATAAGTTTTTAAACAAATATTAGGGACCTGTTTAAAATTGTTACATTGGTTGTATAGCCCATATGGAAAAAAAACAGGTTAGAGGCTTTCAGTAATTTTTATAATGTAAAGATTTCTTGCATCTGTGTGTACTCTGCATCAGAAATGACTGGCATTATACAAAAGAAGCACCAGATCAGAAAAGCTACAGTATGAGAGCAGTGCTCTGTGTGTCCGCCTGTTGGAGCTTCCTTCCAGGGCTAAGGGCCTGGTTTGCCCTGCCACACATTAAGTTTTCAGGTTGAATTTCCTGTTCCTAAGAAAAAAGAAGACACCTCAGGATTAAAGGATGTTACATCTTCTTGCTTCTTTATTATGTAAAACTTCACAGTGTCACAGATTTCTTACGCTGGCAGCAGATGTGATAGCACTAAACTAAGGATAGTTTTTTTAATGCTTTTATCATTCCAGGAGATTCAGTTATCTTGATTTGTTGTTATATTGTCAGTTGTTTCTTAGTGAGTCTGGTTTGGACAAGCTGTTTCCTCGTGTGGCTAGCTACATTGCCAACCCCAGCACATTTTCAGCCAAGTTAAAGAAAACTCATATAGACAGTAAGTAAGCTTCTTTTTAAAGATGTGCATGTAAAAAATAACAAAGTGGATTTACACATCTAGGGTCAATTTTCACATTAGAAAGAAGAATGGATAGATAAATCAACATATCTTCTTTCTACTTTGCGTTCACCAGCTGTAAACTCTGGTGGAAAGTTCTGGTTGTTCATCCACTTTTGGACTGCAGTCATGTTCCAGACAGATCTGACGCATTTGTGTGCAGACTGTTGGTTCCTTGCCTCTCAGGCATATGCACTCCAACTTCGAAGGAAGCTCCCAATTAGTCGACTCTTACGACATGCTTTAGGGAAGGCAGTGGGTCTCTTCTTGTTTTCCCTATAATAGGGCCCTGGAACCCATGCAGGGGAAATCAACATATGATATGCAAAAGTAATTCAGGTACTGAGAAAATTAACACCACTTATGATACATAGGATACCTTTGTCTACCAAGGCAAACATAACTATTTTTTGGGGGGGGGGGGGGGGGGGGGCTCCTGCTCTTTGCTACCAGTTTCAAACAGACATTTATTACATTTTTCCCCAATTTTTTTTTTTAATGTTTACTGGCTGTAAACTCGGGGGGGGGGGGGGGGGGGGGGGGGGGGTTCTATTGTTCATCCATTTCTGGACTTTGGTCACGTTTCAGAACTTTGAGTTTTGCGCCACATCAGTTTTACAGATCTGGCCTGTTTGCTGACTATTGGCTCCTCACATATCATGCTGATGCATTCTGACTTCAGAGGAAACTTCCCTTAACTAGTCACCTTGTACATCATGCTTGGTAGGGAGTCAGTGGGTCTATTCATGTGTCCAACCCCCCCCCCCCTTTCCCCCCCCCCCCCCCGAATGGGGCCCTGGAACCCACACTGGTAGTCTTGTCTTGTCTTGTCCACAATTGCCTCATAGCGTAGTGGGGAGTCGCAGTTTTCTATCCTGGGCCAGGTGTGTTGCACGTGTTGTTGTTAGTCCGTGTTGCCTCAGGATCTCTGATATATTGTCTATCCATCGTACTCTCGGTCTGCCTCTTGCTCTAGGGCAGTAGTGCTGTTCGTTGTAAGCTCGTAGAGGCAGTTGGTCGGTTTGCATTCGCATCAAGTGGCCAAACCACTCTATTTGTTGCTTCTTTATGTATTGCAGGCATGGTGTGGTTCCTACAATTGCTCTAATGTTCTCGTTTCGAACTCTGTCTCTCCTTGTGACATTGGAAGCCTTACGTAAGCATCTCATTTCGCACGTCGTGATCTTTTTTTTCCTGTGCTCTTGTTAGGGACCAGGTTTGGCATTGGTAGCAGAGGGTTGGTATAAACATGCAATTTATCAGTTGTCGTTTTAGTGCCATAGTGATGCTTGGGTGTTTTAGCAGTGGGGAGAGTTGGTGGTAAGTTACTGCGTTCGCCTTTTGACATCTTGCCTCAAGTTCCCTATCAATTCTTCATCATCTGTGAAGATGCTCCCCAAGTATTGAAATTGCTGCATTTGTTTGAGTTGTTCGTTGTTAACTTGAATAGTTAGTATATTAGGTGTTCTACTTATTTCAGAATTTATGTTTTGGTGATGCTGATCTTCATGTTATATTCGTTGCAGACTGTGTGTAGCGCATTTACGTGGATCTGAAGTTCTTTTTCGTTTTCATGTATTATGCTTTGGTCGTCTGCGAAAAGTATTTCGTTCAGTTGGGGATGTACTTCTTCAGGATTGGCATGTATGTTTTCATTATAATGATCTCTAACTCAGTCTCACTGCTTGGTGTAGTTAACAGTTCGCTTATCATTACATGGTTTGCTGCTGTTGTTATTCTGTCCATGTATATATTGAATAGTAGTGGTGATAGTACACAACCCTGTCTTACTCCTGTTCTTAGTATGAATTCGTCTGTCACACCAACATTTGTTCTAACTACGCTTGAGCTTGTTTGGTACAGAGATCTGATGTTGTCTAGTAGCTGACCATGTACTCCATAGTCGTTCAATATATTCCATAGTTTGTTCCTGTCTACCCTGTCAAAGGCTTTTTCTTGGTCAATGAATGCTATATTGAGTTGTTTGTTATATTCTATTGCCTTTTCACTAAGTTGTCTTAGGGTGAAAAGGGCATCTGTGCAACTTTTTACACTGGTAGTTAATAAATTAAATGAGTACAAAATCGTAACATAAGAGATGGGATGTTTTAGAAGAAGCTGTTTGAGTAACAAACGTTATAATTTGAGAAAATAAGAGGACTAGGACTGAAACCAGTGAAACTGTGAAAACGGCCAGGGCTTGACAACAGGCAGTGAGAAGGGGGAGGCTTTCCTGAAGAGATCTGTAGAACAGACAAACAAAATGATAGGACAATCAGGAGGGTGGTTGTTCGGATATTTGTATCCATGGCCAGTTGAAGACGAAATTTTTAAAAATCACTGTCTACAAATGACGTTAGCCATGAAAAATTTGCTCCTGAGTGCACGAACAAAGACTTGTAAACAAATAAAAATGTTAGAGTAACATTTCCTGCATATTTGAATGGTAGTTCCAAACAGTAAAAGCAAATGCAGGGCAGTATACGGATCAATATGTATGGGAGACACAGTCGACGCAGACTGTGTGGTTTGATCAAATAGGAACTTCTTATTTAACACACACAGCCTTGCTGGGGCCCGAAAGAGTTGATGATCTTGCTAAAACAACTAGGAATAGGATATAAGAGGAGATAGTACAGGTGACTGATTTAGAGTTTATGCTGGAAAAACCAGTAGATAGTGCATCTGGGCCAAGACGGTATTAGATGTAGCCTTATAAAAGGTTAAGGCATGTAAGAACTAGGGGAACTGTTGTCGTGTTTCATGTTGCAAATTTGTTTACCAAACTTTTAAGTAACCTTTCTGCATATTTGTTTTTATATGGGTTTTACTAAACAATTTATGATCAGTAGTTTGCCGTTTTGCTTTCTAAACTTTACAATACTTGTACAGTTGTCAAAGCAACTCAAAGCAGTAAGCTACAAAATTGCCTGCAGCTGTTTTTTTTTAAACCCAATTATTTCAGAATTGTTCACCTGTTCACATTTCTAAAGCCACAATATATCATTATCATGAAAATATCCTTTCTTGCATTTGGTACTAATTTTCTTTACATATGCAGTGAGGAAATTAATTTTGCATTTTGTTTTCCTAGATTATCTTTTACAGACATCACATCTTCATCATGTACTGGGCTTAACTAGACAGATTCATCAAGATGTCATTTACACAGGTCACAAGTATTTGCCTCATCAGCTGGCAGTGTTGTATGTGAGTTGTTCTTTAGAAACATAAAAAGATTTCATAGTTTTTTTTTTTTTTTTTTTTTTAACATTTAGTTTTTTATCTCCCAGAGGAGTATAGGAGCAGGTCCTCAATCAGCTCAAATCCTTGTAGATGTCTTCATGATTGGTTGCAGCAGCTGATTCATGACAGTATGATTGGTTGGAAATTGCAGCAGCTGATTCATGATTAGTTGTATGTTGCAGCAGCTGATTCATGATTGGTTGGATATTGCAGCAGCTGATTCATGATTAGTTGTATGTTGCAGCAGCTGATTCATGATTGGTTGGATGTTGCAGCAGCTGATTCACGATTGGTTGGATGTTGCAGCGGCTGATTCATAATTGGTTGGATGTTGCAATAGCTGATTCATCATTGGTTGGATTATGCAAGAGCTTATTCATGATTGGTTGGATGTTGCAACAGCTGATCTATGATTGGTTGGATGTTAGAGCAGCTGATTCATGATTGGTTGGATGTTGCAGCAGCTGATTCAGGATTGGTTGGATGTTGCAGCAGCTGATTCATGATTGGTTGGAAATAGCAGCAGCTGATTCATGATTGGTTGGATGTTGCAGCAGCTGATTTGTGACAGTATAATTGGTTGGATATTGCAGTAGCTGATTCAAGACAGTATATAATATACATATATATAATATATATATATATATATTATATATATATATATATATATATATATATATATATATATATATATATATATATATATATATATATATGTATATGTGTGTGTGTGTGTGTGTATGTACATATATATATATATATACATACAACACACCACACACCATATCACATATATATATATGTGTGTATGTGGTATATATATATATATATATATATATAATACATTGATGGCGTTGTAGAAAATAATTTATATATTGCCTAATACTAAAATACATAAGTACAAAAGTGGTTAGATGAAATCAATGACCCACTGCCTCCTGAACAAGCATGCTGTAAGAGTCAACTAATTAGCCATCTGCCTGAGAGGCAAGAAACACAAAATCTGCATACAAATAAGCCAGATCTGTCAAACTGATGTGGATGCAAAACACAAGTTCTGGAACAATACTAAAAGTCCAGAAGTAGACAAACAACCAGAACTTTCCGCTGAGTTTTAGTCGGTAAACATAAAGAAGAAGACTACTGGTATGCTAATTGAACTATACTGTTTTCTCACTCTGTTGTTTCCTCTACAGCAAGCCATCAGTTCCATTCCCTCAGGCGGAAAGGCACTTTCAGCTGAGAGAACCAACATTGAGGAGAACTTCAAGGCTTTAAAGCGTTCCATTGATGATATCCTAGATAGAGAAGATGTATCTCTTTTGTCAGAAATCAGAAATTGGTGAGTGCTTCTTTCAAATTCAACCTCAGAATGATTAAATTAGTTTCATTTATGTAGATATTTGAATGATGAATGCTGGCCAAACAGTTAGGAGCACAATGATTTGCTTTCTGAACTTTACAATACTTGTACAGTTGTCAAAGCAACTCAAAGCAGTGAGCTACAAAATTGCCTACAGCTGTTTTTATTTTTCAGAATTGGCTGCAGCTCACAGGTCACAATACAGGAAAGCCAGGTTCTGATCTTCAGTAAGGTTGTAGATTCTTTTCTGTTGGGGGCAAAAATGAAATCCTAACTTGCACAGTCCATGGCGACAGCACTAGCCATGCTGCCCTAGATCCTGTGGCTGAAATTTCCCCCTCTCCCCCATCTGCGTACACCGAAAAGTTGTAACTTGCAGTAATAGGAAGTTGTTGGTTTTTTCAGTTGGTATGATTTAATTGTCATAAAAAAGAAAAAGAGATGTCAATTTGTACTACGCAGGAAAACATCAGTTATGGGATCTATAAAGCATATTTAAAGAAGAAAGCAGACTCAATAGGGAGATGGAAGCCAGAGTACAGAAGGCAGATGTGATCACCTACCAGCTAGAACCACTGCTTAGACACCCAAAACTGCCTTTGTATACCACTTCTGCGGTGAAGGCAGGGAAGTCTTTTGAGCCGAAGGATTTAAGTCCGCGTGGCTAGTGCTGTCTCCACGACTGTGCAGGTATTTTATTTTGCCCCTACAAAAGAAATCCCTAGCCTCAACGAGCATTGAAACCCGGGTCTTCCGCATAAGAACCCAGCGTTCTAACTGTTCGGCCAGCAGGGTACAGGGTTATGAATACTGGCATTAGAGAGAAAGTTGGAATAAAACTGTGTCTGAAATATATTGACAAAGAGTGAAAGCTTCAGCCATCTAGTGAGAATGCAGCCAAACCAAACTGCCCGTGAGATTTTTTACAGCAGAACGTGGGAGGTAGGTGGAAGGAAAGAAAGAGATAGATAAATAGTGGTTGAACCCCAAGAAGGGCAAGACAAATACATAAAAACCATGCCTCTAGGCTACAACCGGATATTTCTGAGTCGACAAAAAGAAAAGTGGATAGAACCACACAGAGAAAACACAAACTCCTCACACAGTAATCTACCATGCATATTTTTAGGGGCAGCAGGTTGGAATTAGTTGGTGTGGAACCGGCCAACTTATCTTATAGGACACTTAGCTGCAAAATGTAACCATCTTTTCTTCTTCTTCTCCGGTCCTGTTCTGCCTTTCAGCATTAGGTTTTGATGAGGCATCGGGTGCTAACCTTAGTATGTGCTGGTATTTATGGCCTCGGATATTACATCTCTCCATCGCTTGCATGAACCCTCTATCCTTGCTTCTGTTATGTCTGAGTGACAGGCCTGTCATTGGTGCGCTACCTGGAGATAGACTTGACACATGTCTGAACCATTTGATCTGTTGTCTTTTGATGTAGTTGTCCTGACTCTTCATTGTGGCTTTTCTAAGTGTTGATCTTTTGATCTACCCAACGGGTTATATCAAAACGAAAATGCTAAGTAAATGCTGCTTGGTGTTTATCTCATTTCATTAATAACTAATGGGGAAATGTACCTTTAATAACATGGTAATTTCTAAGCTGCACAGCACTTGTTTATGGAGGTGTACATGGCAGTGCTGCACAGCACTTGTTTATGGAGGTGTACATGGAAGTGCTGCACAGCACTTGTTTATGGAGGTGTACATACATGGCAGTGCTACACAGCACTTGTTTATGGAGGTGTACATGGCAGTGCTGCACAGCACTTGTTTATGGAGGTGTACATGGCAGTGCTGCACAGCACTTGTTTATTGTACATGGCAGTGCTGCACAGCACTTGTTATGGAGGTTTACATGGCAGTGCTACACAGCACTTGTTTATGGAGGTGTACATAATGGCAGTGCTACACAGCACTTGTTTATGGAGGTGTACATGGCACCTGCACAGCACTTGTTTATGGAGGTGTACATTGCTGCACAGCACTTCTTTATGGAGGTGTACATGGCAGTGCTGCACAGCACTTGTTTTATGGAGGTTGTACATGGCAGTCTACAAGCACTTGTTTATGGAGGTGTACATGGCAGTGCTGCACAGGCACTTGTTTATGGAGGTGTACATGGCAGTGCTGCACAGCACTTGTTTATGGAGGTGTACTAAGTGCTGCACAGCAACATTGTTTATGGAGGTGTACATGGCAGTGCTACACAGCACTTGTTTATGGAGGTGTACATGGCAGTGCTGCACAGCACTTGTTTATGGAGGTGTACATGGCAGTGCTACACAGCACTTGTTTATGGAGGTGTACATGGCAGTGCTGCACAGCACTTGTTTATGGAGGTGTACATGGCAGTGCTGCACAGCACTTGTTTATGGAGGTGTACATACATGGCAGTGCTACACAGCACTTGTTTATGGAGGTTACATAGTGCTGCACAGCACTTGTTTATGGAGGTGTACATGGCAGTGCTACACAGCACTTGTTTATGGAGGTGTACATGGAGGCTGCACAGCACTTGTTTATGGAGGTGTACATGGCAGTGCTACACAGCACTTGTTTATGGAGGTGTACATGGCAGTGCTACACAGCACTTGTTTATGGAGGTGTACATGGCAGTGCTACACAGCACTTGTTTATGGAGGTGTACATGGCAGTGCTACACAGACTATCAAGCAAAGTCATCTGTCAGATCTTTCCCACATCCATTTTTTGTTCATTGTTCAAACCCTGTCTGCCGCTTCCCGTTCAACCACAGAAGAAATAGGTTCACCTTAGGATTTTTTTTTTTTTGGTTCAAGTTGGAAATCCCCATTTTGCTGTTTATCTTGTTTATTGTAATATGTCATTAGGCTTCTGTTGCTATTTAATGTATCTTATCTGTTGTAATATATCATGTTTCTTATCTTTTGTAACATATCATTAGGCTTCTGGTGCTATTTGAATGATGTCAAAAATAGGACTGACAGTAGTTTAGTACTGGTTCCATCCCAGCTTCTCTCCTGATATTGTCATTTCTGATCCTTCTTCTTCTAGTTACATTTAGGATTGATTGAAGATTGATTGATTGATTGATTTCTGTTTTTTTTTTTTGGGCGTCTGTGGCTTAGTCTTTAGGAATGCGCTTCGTAATGCCGGGTTAGATCCCAGCTGCGGGCCTTGCGTTGGCTTCAACAGTGGTATAGAGAAGTTGACCGTCCAGAAAGCAGTAGCAAACTATTGGACCTAAACATGCCTAGGAAAACCACAACAGCCAAAAAATGCTAGGGTTGGTTCTGCAATGTCCTGTAAAGGATACGCAACTATGTATTACACACTAGGAAGTCGCCGAGCCGGAGCAACCAGACGTTTGCCTGTGGATTAGAATATCGTGGGTTTACTACCTGGTGGAGCTGGACTTTAAAAAAAAAAACCTTGGCTCCCAAGTCGATCTAGCCTTTTTCAGGTCCTGGGTAAAGTCCTGGGAAGTAAAGGCGGCCGGCATAATGCTGACATCATCACTCAATATAGGTCTAGCCCTATATACCAAATATGCCTGAAAGGCGTGGAAAATGTTACTTTACTTTTTTATATATTACACACTATGCAGTTGCAACCAGTACCAAAGCTGTTCGGCTTTGATGTCACTCTACTCTGTCTGGACATCAGGTTACTTTTGTATCCGATGGGGTGACCAGTATAAACAACCTTATGGTTGAACTCAGTATCTTTCCTCACAATTGATAGAAATATAGATGTCTGCACCCCAAATTTATATGTGTACATATTGCACACTATGCAGTGGCAGCCAGTACCAAAGCCGTTCGGCTTTGATGTCGCACTTAGAGAGGATAAGGAGCCCACATACCTCGCAGTCACATTTGATGATAGGTTAACATAAGAAAACACATCAAGGCAGCAATTAAAGCCAAAAGGAAGATAGCTGTCCTGAGAAAACTAGAACAACATAGGGTGCTAATGGGAAAATACTTTGGAAAGGTTGTCAACAAAGTGTACTACCACACCTTGAATACAGGTTAATTGCATGGAGTTCAGCATAAAAGACCACCATACAAAAGGTGCAAAATCAAGCTGTCAGAGTCATAACAGGCGGGATTAAATCAACACTTAAAGCTGTGATGGAGAAGTTGGCGATGACCGACAGAATGCAGAGAACAAGATACTGATACAAGTGGAAAAGTTTCTCAACATGCCTGAACACCCTATGAAAAAAAATTCAAAAATCTAGCAATGGGGTGACTAAAAAGTAGTAGTTTTATCCGCCAGGCCAAACGGCTCTGCAGTCAAACAACTGATAGCCCCTTAAATGCTATTCCAGATCAGACCTCCTGGAGAGAGGATTATATGTTGCCGATACACATCCAGACAGAAGTGAAAGGAGTATTCGACAAGGAAGAACAAAACATTGTGCAGTGTAAAACAGCCACCCTTAGTCTAATTGATCTTTGGGATCGTGTCTACATGAATGGGTCAGCATAAAATGCAAGCAGAAATAGAGGAGCAGGAGTGTGTACATTGACCATCCAAACAATACCAGATATACAGGCAAAATAAATACATAAAAGCACTGTCACAACTATGATGCAGAACTCCAAGCCATCAAAATAGCAGCATAGAAAACTGCTAAATATATGTCATATTTCAGAACCCGTGGTATTCCTGACAGATGCATGAGAGGTACTTCAGGCACTCAAATCTGGAAAATTACTTGGTATACGGAAACTACTCTCTGGACTGGACGGCCGGTGTAAGGCACAAGCTATGCAATGGATACTATCCCATTGTGGAGTTCCCAGAAAGAGCTGGTAAACTAGCTAAGGAAGGTGCAAATGAAGAACAACCTGACATACCGATCTCTTATCAACAGAAGAAGAGAATAATCAGATCAATCTGAAAGCCACCAAAACTGGCAAAAGACGATTACCATATAATGGACAGACCAAAGCAAATCATTATTCTACGCCTTAGAACAGGGCACAAGACTGTCTCACATACAACATATCAAGGCAAAACTTTTGGCCTAGAGAAACACCGGTGCAAGCCAAACTTTGCGAGTAGCTGATTGAATTACAACAGACAGTGAAGTTCATGCTAGAGACAACATTGCAGATATAAATCATCTATTTCACGGGAACGGAAGGAGAAGAAGAAAAAATGTGATAGTCACTGCATTACTGAGGCCTCACAGAAAATACTGTAATTGTTGATGTATAAGATGCTCCCTTGTGGAAGACATGTCCCAAATACTAAACACAATTTTTTTTAAATCAGACACCACTCTGGAATGATGAAATTAAATACTACTACCTACAAAATGTTAGGGGGATTCCAGTCACGCATTTCCGTCATTCCCTGTCTCATTTATAGGTCGCATCGTTACCATTTGAACGCAGAGCATTTTAAGATTTTGGAAGGAAAGAAACTAGAATGCAGGCAACTGAAAAATAGTGGTAGGTTTAGGTCTATTTTAGTTGAGTAAAAAACAGCCTCATTTTAAGAACAAAAAAGTGTGTCTTATACACTGACAAATGCAGCAAGTACCTGGCACAGTATGCCAGATAGCCAGATGGGAGGATGACTGAACATATAGATGAAGAAATAGTGATGACATTGAAATAAAATACCTCTCATTTGTTAAACCATACTCTGATGGTATCATTTTATGTTTATATCTGTATTTAATTGATGTAAGCCATCTTTAGCAATATTTTCATGTTCTTTTGTTTTTATCACAAAGGATTCTGAACCTCACAGAAAGCATCATCCAAGTAATCTCATCCATGCCACAGTGTATGACTGAAGAAATCCTCCCAGTGGCTCAAGTATTGCAACAGTAATTCTTTGCTTTGTAAATGGACACTTGTTGCAATCCTTTAACTCCATGTTGTCTCTTCCTGGCAGCAAAGTAGTATACAATACTGACCTAATAAGGAGAACTCCCCAGGGACCCAAAAAATGGTTCTTCTTATCTGAAATTGTTCTTATTCAGATGAGAATTCAAGCCAGAAAAATGGCAGGAGATAAACAAATTGTTCTAGACAACAGAATCCATATCCAAGATCGCCTAAAGCGATCTGCACTGTATTTATAGAAGTGATAAGAGTTCTGTAGCTGATCTAAGAATTCATAGAGTGGGCTGGTCATTGTTGGGGGTGACATAAGCTGGTGGTTCTTGGAGGTATCTTCAGCTTTGGCTGATGTCACTGTCATCTGTCACAGTTGTTAGAGGTATCTTCAGCTTTAGCTGATGTCACAGTTGTTAGAGGTAACTTCAGCTGTGGCTGATGTCACTAATGTCAGTCATCTATTACAGTTGTTAGAGGTAACTTCAGCTGTGGCAGTTGTCATTAATGTCAGTCATCTGTATCAGTTGTTGGAGGTAACTTCAGCTGTGGCTGATGTCACTAATGTCATGTCACAGTTGTTAGAGGTAACTTCAGCTGTGGCTGATGTCACTAATGTCATGTCACAGTTGTTAGAGGTAACTTCAGCTGTGGCTGATGTCACTAATGTCATGTCACAGTTGTTAGAGGTAACTTCAGCTGTGGCTGATGTCACCAATGTCATGTCACAGTTGTTAGAGGTAACTTCAGCTGTGGCTGATGTCACCAATGTCATGTCACAGTTGTTAGAGGTAACTTCAGCTGTGGCTGATGTTACTAATGTCATATCACAGTTGTAGAGGTACCTTTAGCTGTGGCTGATGTTACTAATGTCATGTCACAGTTGTTAGAGGTAACTTCAGCTGTGGCTGATGTCACTAATGTCATGTCACAGTTGTTAGAGGTAACTTCAGCTGTGGCTGATGTCACTAATGTCATGTCACAGTTGTTAGAGGTAACTTCAGCTGTGGCTGATGTCACTAATGTCATGTCACAGTTGTTAGAGGTAACTTCAGCTGTGGCTGATGTCACTAATGTCATGTCACAGTTGTTAGAGGTAACTTCAGCTGTGGCTGATGTCACTAATGTCATGTCACAGTTGTAGAGGTACCTTTAGCTGTGGCAGGTGTCACTGTCATCTGTTGCAATTGTTAGAGGTAACCATCTGTGGCAGATATCACTGTCGTCATCTGTCACAGTTGTAATTTTAGCTGTAACACCTTTTATTAAATGTCGCAGTTGTTAGAGATAACTTCAGCTGTGGCAATGTTCTGATATGTCTTGGTTGCTAGAGGAAAAATGAGCTAGCAAATTAACTTGAGAGGCAAAATGAGCTAGCAAATTAACTTTAAATGAGTCGTTGGAACAAAACTGAACCGGAAATTATTCAAGGTAAATTAAGTTAGCAGTTGTATGTAAACCACAACGCAATGTGCCAACCGCCCCCTTTTTGGGGGGCAAAGTCAGAAGAAGAATTTGGAGATACATTCAGTTGATTTGCAAAAGATACCAATACAACATCAACTGCAGTGAGCAAAAGTGTGTTTAAATGCTTAATTTGGTGTGATAATACACACACCAATACGACATTAACTGCAGTGAGCAAAAGTGTGTTTAAATGCTTCATTTTGTGTGAAAATACTCACCAATACGACATCAACTGCAGTGAGCAAAAGTGTGTTTAAATGATTCATTTGGTGTGAAAATACACTCACCAATACGACATAAACTGCAGTGAGCAAAAGTGTGTTTAAATGCTTCATTTTGTGTGAAAAAACACTCACCAATACAACATCAACTGCAGTGAGCAAAAGTGTGTTTAAATGCTTCATTTGGTGTGAAAAAACACTCACCAATAAGACATAAACTGCAGTGAGCAAAAGTGTGTTTAAATGCTTCATTTGGTGTGAAAATACACTCACCAATAAGGAAAAGTGCATTTAAGTGCTATATATAACCTGTGTTGTTATATGCAGATGAGACATGATCAGTAAGTAAGACAACTTACTTTGTTTTTTTTAAATGAAGCAAAGAATAAGAAACAGTGTTATTTTTAGACAACAGTTTTACTTGGGACAGATGCAAGTTGTAAACTGATTAAAAATTTAGACATTGACAGCGTTTTTCTGATATGTTAAGAGAATGAACTTGAAAACATAGTAATGACTGGCAAAACTGATGGACAGAGATCAAGAGAAAGGCAAAGAAAAACAAATATACCTGAACGGCTTGGCCATATGAAAGGAGCAAGACGAGAAAATAATTAGGATCCATGATTCTGATGAGTGTGTGTGTGTGAGATGATGAAACATGACAGCCCATACTTATCCACGTTGCACATGATGATGTTTCAATTGCTGATTGTTGAATGCAGCCGCATGTTAATCCCAGGTCTTTGAGGATGTAGAACTTTCACGGAGGTGATTTTTTCAAAACTGTGGAGATCTGTTAGGGCCACCATTGGAGCTCAGGAGTTGATTGTTGTGTGCGATGTTCTCTGTGGGTGACCAGCCATTCTGCAGAGATAGGCTGAGCCATATGCTAGATCCTCTGGCCTGTAAACCGTGTTAACAGTGTATACTGAGAAATGTTGGCTTTTGTGGCTTAGACAGGCACTGCAAACGAGCTTGGGATGCCAGATGTGATCCAAGCTGCGGGCGATTTGTCTTGCATTGGTTTCAACTGTGGTACCAAAAGCTGACCACTAAGAAAGAAATGGCAAACTACTAAACAGAAAATTTGCCTAGAAAAACCACATCACCATCCCAACAAAAAATAGATGGGGTTGGTTCTGCAAGGTCTTGTAAACAATACACAACTTTTTATTTATACTGAGAAATATGGTGAAGTAAATTCTGGAACTGATTCAAGAGAAACATTGAACGTTGATAAAAGAAGCTGAAGGTACTGGATTGAATTCCATCCATGATACTGAAGTGTTTGCACGGCATGGAACGGACTAGAGAAGTGGACTGAGCCCTTTGTTCATTACTCATGTGAAGATAATCTTCACTGCACACATTGGACATGACTGTAAGTGCTCCGATCTCCACCTGAGTATGTGTTCAAGTGTTTTTAGGCTAACAACTCCCATTCTGTTCTGGTTGATGTAATGGTTTTCCTGTCTTGCGGATCCAAGTGGTACACCCAGGGAAAGCAGTCATGTTTTTGCTTAAGGAAACTAGCAGACAGATAGACTGGTCGGTTCCGCACCACTTGTGGATGAATTGATATATGACAAGCTCGATGTTGTGAGGGCCCTTTAGGAGGGAGTGAACAGTGCAGAAGCAGAAATAGATCATTACGGTTTTTGGAATATGGTGCTGTGGAGTTAACCAGGGGATCTAGCCGATGCTGAAGGCAAAGGCGAGACATATACAGGCGGTTACGGAGCGCTTATGGGAGTGTCCGGAGTGCTGTGATGTTAATTCTCAATTCAACAATCCTTGAGGATTCCAACATGAGACAACCTTCTCTTTCCCGTTCATCGACTATAACTCTGGAGGAAAATTCTTCTTGTTGATCTACTTCTGGACTTTGTCTCATTCCAGAACCTGAGTTTTGTGTGCACATCTGTTTTACAGATCTGATTTACTTGTATACCAAGGTTAAAAAGTCCAGCTTGTACCCCTGGTTCAGTTAGTTCATGGTGTTGTCACTATATATATATATAGTGCTGTGTGATTTATGCAGCATTATACTATTATCCTTGTGTGAGCTGCAGAAGGAGACCTGGAGTACATGTGTGGATACCTGTAAAAACTAGATCTTAATAAACAACATTTACAACTCAAAGCCCGCTCAAATGTATTTTGAATTTATTTGGATAATATACCAGTCAGACAATTTTAAAACAATGAATTCACAATAAACAAGGGGAAACAATGTCAAGTCTGTGATATTTTCACACAAATAGGCCCTCAGTTAAAAAAAAAAAACAGAATTTTAAAAACGACTCCATATTAATTACTGGTTATTGATTATCCAAGTTCCAAGTCCTCAATTTCCTGTAGTAACGAGTCCAAACTCTTGATTTTTTCAACCTGAAAGATATCATTAGGAAAACCATGGTCAACTGCAAATCTTTGGTTTCTTTTATCTACTATTTCCCATTTGGGTTCATTTCACACAAACATGTTATTCAGTTCTTGAGTGCAGATTTGACCTAGATCCCTAACGATTGTTGCCGGAGCAACGCTCTCAGCAGGTAGCTACCCGTTATGCAAGATCGAGCCATTTAAGATAACAATTTGGTGCAATGAAGTCGATCGTCTTGACTTTAACTTACGACTTTTAACATACTGTGAACTGGTAAAGGACAGTTCACAGGCCAGGTCTCTTCTTCTGTTGATGTGTCATCTGCCAGTTCCACTGAACTTTCTAGCTGTGTTAACTCACTGGACTAGTATTCTTTCCTTATTGCGCTGTACAAGAGACAGTCTTGCAGGACATGTTCTGCAGTTTGTGCACACATATGACATTTAATAAAAATCTTGAATAAACTTGTCAGTGTTTATTTTTATTTACTGGTGCTCTGAGTTGTCTTCTTTTAAATCCGTTAGTTAGAAAAACTGAGTCTTATGTACAGATAAAGTTTCAACAAACATTTTGTTTTTCATATTTGTGCCCTGTCCACAGTGGAGATTGGCTGCACTAGATGTGTGTGTCCACGGCTGTCTGTGAAAATAATATACAGTATGCCCCTATCTCTTCTACTGTCTGACAGCCAAGGCAACTCTTATACTACTGTCTGACAGCCAAAGCAACTCTTGTACCACTGTCTGACAGCCAAGACAACTCTTGTACCACTGTCTGACAGCCAAAGCAACTCTTGCACCACTGTCTGACAGCCAAGACAACTCTTGTACCACTGTCTGACAGCCAAGACAACTCTTGTACCACTGACAGCCAATGCAACTCTTGTACCACTGTCTGACAACCAAGACAACTCTTGTACCACTGACAGCCAAGACAACTCTTGTACCACTGTCTAACAGTCAAGAGAATGGTTTAACTAATAAATATGAAAACTAGTACTATACATCAACAAAAACAGAACATATGGTTGTTAACATGTTCATTAGGAACCTGACAAAGCATCTACATTGGGGTGGGGGAATATAGCCTGAAGTTTGAGTATGCAAGTGCACTCACCACCATGCCACAAGATAATCTAAATTCAAACTCACTTAATTCCCTTCAAAATATTTTTCAAACATTTAAGTACACCTCGCAGCTGTATCCAACCAGCAATACCTCTCTGCTGGCAAGTTCAAAAGTGTGGTGGTGGTGGTGGGGGGGGGGGGGGGGGGGGGGGGCGCTTATAATTATACTCACCTGATTCTTTTCCATCTCTTTGCCAGCCGCTTGTTGTTCCTGCAGTTTTTCAATCTGCTGGACTTTCTGTGAAGAGAAATAACATACTTCTGTGTAATTCAAAAACAACTGTTTATGCAATGTTAGTGTGGCTGGTGCATACAGAGAGAATGGCAGATGACGAGAGACAAAAACTGAGTACACAAAAGCATTGCATGGAAGCAGACTACAAGGCTGTCAGTGTGTTACCAAGAAAAGCAAAGAATAGTAACACTGCACCAGCCAGGCACGTTACAAGGGGCAACATCTGTTTTATTCTTTCTATTCCTCTTGTGACTGCTTCTTTGATTGACACCAACAGACAAGTTCTTGTGATACAATTGACGGTATTTTGGAGATTCTCTTTCTCTTTAGTTCCACTGAAATTTCTGGCTGTGTTGACTCATTGGACCAGTATTTTCTTACTGCGCTGTACAAGAGAAGTCTTGCAGGACATGTTCTGCAGTTTGTGCGCACAGCCCTCATGGTGAACTTAGTGGAAGAAGCTTGTGCATATGCTTGTTTGGTTTGTTATGTCCTGTGCTGAGAAGTAGAAAGGTGATCTCTTCATGCTGGCCAAGTAGTTGCTAGCCATCTCTGCCAGGATTCTGTTCATGCTGGCCAAGTAAGTGCTAGTTATCTCTGCCATGATTCTCTTCATGCTGGCCAAGTAAGTGCTAGCCATCTCTGCCATGATTCTCTTCATGCTGGCCAAGTAAGTGCTAGCCATCTCTGCCATGATTCTCTTTATGCTGGCCAAGTAAGTGCTAGCCATCTCTGCCATGATTCTCTTCATGCTGGCCAAGTAAGTGCTAGCCATCTCTGCCATGATTCTCTACATGCTGGCCAAGTAAGTGCTAGCCATCTCTGCCATGATTCTCTTCATACTGGCCAAGCAAGTGCTAGCCATCTCTGCCATGATTCTCTTCATGCTGGCCAAGTAAGTGCTAGCCATCTCTGCCATGATTCTCTTCATACTGGCTAAGTAAGTGCTAGCCATCTCTGCCAAGAATCTTTTCTCTTCTGACTAGACAGCCCTTGTCGCCCTTCAAAGTACGTTACTCCTTGTCTTCCTGTTCACTCTCTCACCCCTTACTTAGCAAGTTTATCTGCTGTTTCATTTCCTGGAATACAACACTGGGACAGCACCTGTTTCAGTACAGTACACTTTTTTTGGCTACCATCTTGCCAAGTTTAGATTGGAGGTTAGGAACTTAACCATTATGAAGGCTTCTAGCACAGATAGTACCCCCAGTTAGTCAACTATTATTACATGCTAGTTGGGAAGGCACTATGTCTATTCTTTTCTCCTCACAATATGGTTCTAGAACCCACACGGTGAAAACTGAAACATTATGTGCCATGCTGATAAATTTTGGTGATCATCATTTCCGATCAGTCACCAGTCGCAAATGAAGCCTGTTGCTATCTCCGGTATGCCATTTAGCTAATCAATCCGGGTATCAACCCCCCCTCCCCCCCAGTCAAGTCTTTGCCAGTTATCACAAGGTTCTCTTCAGGACACAACATCTAATCTGAAAATGGAGGTGGAGGAGGTCACTCCAGCCTTCTGCTGACTTGAGAACCAGCGGTACACACATCATAATTATAACCAACTCACAGAGCACGCTGAGACAGAGTGATGCGATGGTGATTCTGAATTCAACACTCTCTTCAGGATCTGTCCCAGAACAAATTAGTCTGTGCCTAATTTCTGGAATCAATTTAAGGTTTCCATCTGTGTCTTTGTAACTATCCACGGTAATAACCCCCCCCCCCCCCCCCCCCCTTCCTTTTACCAGTGCTTTCTCAGAAATGATATTTTCATTGTCATTGCTATTTCTGGACTTGAAAATAAGAACTGGTCTGTATTGCATATGTCAAAAGAACTTGTCTGTATTGCATGTCAAAAGAACTAGTCTGTATTGCATATGCCAAAAGAACTAGTCTGTATTGCATATGTCAAAAGAACTAGTCTGTATTGCATATGCCAAAAGAACTAGTCTGTATTGCATATGTCAAAAGAACTAGTCTGTATTGCATATGCTAAAAGAACTAGTCTGTATTGCATATGTCAAAAGAACTGGTCTGTATTGCATATGTCAAAAGAACTTGTCTGTATTGCATGTCAAAAGAACTAGTCTGTATTGCAAATGTCAAAAGAACTTGTCTGTATTGCATATGCCAAAAGAACTAGTCTGTATTGCAAATGTCAACCATCTGAGATTATATTGCAGCATTTTACAGAATGTGAGAAGCAGAGAATTACTTTTTTTTGCCTTCTTTTCCCTCCCCGTCCCTCTTTACAACTTCAATCTGGGGAAGCTGAGTGTTTATATCAAGACAGGAGCCTGGTATACAGCTAAAGCTAGAATTTGAAGGTTGGGGGTTACCTGTTTCAGCTTTTATGTTACATATATTTGTGGCTTAAGGGTTTATGAACATGGCTTTTTCTAGGCTTTTTTTTTTTTTTTCAGAAGAAGAAAAGGTGCTGGCATTCATGACAAAGTGCCTGAAAAGGTACCAAAATTCATCACAAAGTATCTATTACAGTAGCCCTGAATAAAATATGATGCCTATAAAGATGCTGTAAATAAGCACTATTGCCTACCGACTAAAGAAAGCCCTAGTTTTATCATTTCGAAATACCCTGTTCAATTCAGCTGCAAGCGATTTGGCAACAGAACATTTTGCGTTTATTTTGATAATTGTATAGAGTGTTGATCATTCGACAAGCAGTGGCAAACTAATGAGTCAAAAAATGCCTAGTAAAACGACAGGCAGCCAACAATTACACTATATACACATTTATTCTTGGATTGTTTATATTTTAATATATAAGAGACACAGCCAACTTTCAATGTGGAGCTGACACCTCACATTATTGCCTGACTCACTGAAAGCAAAAGCCTTCAACATTATTCGGCCTGAAAAAGATCACAATCCATTGAATCAAAGTCTCAAGACCAGGAAACCAACCTTTCTCAAATTCCTCAGTTTCTTATCCTTTTCTGGATCTCCAGTAGTGGCCCCTGCCACACTAGCACCAAGGCTACCAGTGCTGTCAGAGGCTGCGGTGGTTGCAGAAGCAGATTCTTCAGGTTTCGTGGTTCCCTAAGAAATGAAACATATGGACAGTTTAGCTGATAATATCAATAATACATGTAGTATTACACCAGCGCTTTAAAATAAAAATGTTCAGATCACACGTCTTTCCTGTGGCAAATGATGGATGTGAGTAGTGGACTCGTTCTGATTCAATCAATTAAACTGTGGGTTCCGAGGCCCTATTATATGGAAGACAAGAATAGACCCACTGCCTACCCAAAAGCATGTCGTAAGAGTCGACTAATTGGGAGCTTTTTTCATAATCAGAGTGAATCTGGCTGAGAGGCAAGGAACCAAAAGTCTGCACACAAATGAGTCAGATCAGTCAATGGATGCATACGCAACACTCAAGTTCTAAAACAGGACTGCAGTCCAGAGGTGGACGAACGACCAGTTCTTTCCGTCGGAGATTACAGCCGGTGAACGCGAAGAAGAAGAATTTTAAAAAAATTGGAATACAAATAAGTCAGATATGTAACATGGATATGCACGCAACACTCAGGTTCTTGAACAGGATTAAAGTCCAGAGGTGGATGAACAACCAGAACTTTTCGCCGGGGTTTACAGCTGGTGAACATGAAGACAAAGAACTGAAATGCTAGAGAAAAATCATCAGATACCATGAACCAAGAAGAACAAAAACCCCAACACGCTGCCAGATCTGAGCTTCAAGGAGAACTGGCTCATCAAAAGCATCCCGGTCCCAAACACTGAAAGCCATGTTGGCCTAGAGAGAGCGGTGATGGAGGCTACAGTTTACGGAAAACAAGGCAGAACTCCACAAAAGTGCATACAAGACCACAAAGATGCACTGGCTATGAAAGCACACAGGGCTGGAGAAATGGCTGAAGAGAGACTTTCTGTGTCAGGAGGAGAGCAACATTCTGTAAAGGACCTACTAACTGACAACATGAAAGCATACTTCTAGCCTCTTGGTCTTTTGTTAACATTCACCTCTGAAGTCTAGTCTTGCCCTAGAACCTGAGTGTTGCGTGCACACCCGTTTAACAGATCTGACTTAACTGTATGCAAATTGTTGGTTCCTTGCCTCTCACAGATGCACTCTGACTTTGAAGGAAGTCCCCTATTAATCGACTTTCAACATGCTTGTTGAGAAGGCAGTGGGTCTATTTGTGTGTGCCCCCCCCCCCCCCCCGCGGGGCCCTACGATTAATGTAGAGGTCACTGAAATCAAATGTGTTGTGCTGAAAGATACAGATTCTATAACCTAGCTGTAAACCACAACACAATGTGCCAACTGCCCTGTTAAGGGTTAATGCAGAAACATAAGAAATTAGAGGTCAAAGTAAATAAAGAGAGAATTATCAATTACAAAAATTTTTTCCAAGAAAACACACCTCACGAGCAGCCTTGGCCTTCTGAGCTTCCCGTTTTTTCTTGTTTTTGCTGGGGGCTTTGTCTGGCTGAGACTTCTGAGCATTGGAAGCAGATTCTAGTTCATAAAGTGGCTTCAGAGCCGCAGGTTTAGCTCCCGCATCCCTCATCTGTGGAGGTCTGTATGCTGCTCCTTGCGCTGTAGAAGAAGTGTTTTCCAGATACAAGAGATTATACATAGAATTGTACCTCGGTATACGTCTTTAATCTGTTCCAGATTCTTGGAATTGTACCAAACAAGACATACATATACAAATTTTCTTATAAGAAGTTAAGAGAGAATTAAAAATCCTGTTGTTACTGTCATACTGTACATTGATGGGGGTTGTATGAAATAATGTAAACACTGCTTAATGCTAAAATACATAAATACAAAAGCAGTCAGATGAAATCAACAAAAATTTAGCCTTTTCTGACCTTGCCGAAATGAGCAGAGCGCCTACTAGGATGGTACTGAGAAGGGAGGAAGAGTAGAAGATGTTATTCCAATAAAACTTCAGGAATCTGAAAACTTGTGTCTTTCTGACTCTGTTCTCTATGTGGACCTGGTTAAGGCTCACAAGTTCTAGGAGGTGAATTGTATTCCAAACAAAGGCTGTATACCAAACATAATTGTTCCCGTCTAAATGGAACGTATAACAAGTGGACCTATTAGAAAGCGGACGTAGACCAAGGTATCACTGTATTAAGACAATATGACATCATTATTTCACCTTACAAGTGCTAATAAAATACATCTCTTTCTTCTGTTAACTCAGGGAAATTTCAGAAGGAGACGTATGGATTTTCTGTATGTTCTGTCTAATGCGCTGTGTAAATTAGCAATTATTTCTCTTAGGTTTTTTTTGATGTCACTGCTCCATCTTTTGTGTAGACTTTCCTCTGCTCGGTACTTTTTATATTTCTTCAGCCCGGCTCTCTGTGGCAGTTGGTGCCAGAACATTCTCAATATATGTCCAAACCATCTCATCTATTGGTACCTGGACATTCTCAATATATGTCCAAACCATCTCATCTGTTGGTACCTGGACATTCTCAACATATGTCCAAACAATCTCATCTATTGGTACCAGGACATTCTCAACATATGTCCAAACCATCTCATCTATTGGTACCAGGACATTCTCAATATATGTCCAAACCATCTCATCTATTGGTACCCGGACATTCTCATTATATGTCCAAACCATCTCATCTATTGGTACCTGGACATTCTCAATATATGTCCAAACCATCTCTTGGTACCTGGACATTCTCAATATATGTCCAAACCATCTCATCTTTGGTACCAGGACATTCTCAGCATATGTTCAAACCATTTCATCTATTGGTACCAGGACATTCTCAGCATATGTCCAAACCATCTCATCTATTGGTACCTGGACATTCTCAATATATGTCCAAACCATTTCATCTATTGGTACCTGGACATTCTCAATATATGTCCAAACCATCTCTTGGTACCTGGACATTCTCAATATATGTCTGAACTATCTCATCTGTTGGTACCTGGACATTCTCAATATATGTCTAAACCATCTCATCTATTGGTACCTGGACACTCTCAATATATGTCTAAACCATCTCATCTATTGGTACCAGGACATTCTCAGCATATGTCCAAACCATCTCATCTATTGGTACCAGGACATTCTCAGCATATGTCCAAACCATCTGATCTATTGGTACCAGGACATTCTCAATATATGTCCAAACCATCTTATCTATTGGTACCAGGACATTCTCAATATATGTCCAAACCATCTCATCTATTGGTACCAGGATATTCTATATCTGCAATATTTTCTCTAGTATGAACTTCACTGTCATGTAATTCACTCAGCGACACGTAAAATTTTACTTGCACTGATGTTTCTCTTGGTCAAAAGTTTTGCTTTGATATGTTGTATTTGGGACAGTCTTAGAGTATATGATCTGTTGTCTTGTGTGCCAATCCACATGTGCACGAGGCTGATTCACAAATTTTAAATGTTGTGTACATGTGGCTGCAAAGTTGATTGTGTCTTGTTCTAAGGTGTAAAATAATAACTTGCTCTGGTCTGTCCATAAAATGGTAATCGTCTTGTGCCAGTTTTGGTGGCTTGCTGATAAGAGACTCGAACGAGACTGCAAACACGTAATTTAATCTATGGACATTTTATTTTTAAGTTCATAAAAAGATACAGATCTTGACAGACAGGATTTCTCAGTTTACAGAACAGTACATACAGAAACTTGAAAACTTAGTGACAACTGGCAAACCTTACTGAGAAAAAAAAGCATAAGTAAGCCAGAGATGAATATTTTATTGGTGGCGCGGTGATTTATGTCACAGGCGTGAGGGGAAGTTAAGTCCAACATGATGTATATAAGGAGATACTCTGTACGTCACTTGGGCGCCAGTCCTTCACTATCCTGGTTGTACGGAACCTCACGCAAGACCCCTGCAGCACGTCCTCGTCGTGCGCCACGGATAATGTCTCAAATGAGCATTAACAGAGCTGTCAGGGGATCTCGGAGTTCGGCGGCCCCCAGAGGTGATGTGTCCTTGTGGCTCTCATCAGCCCGCCCCCAAACGCTTGGGTGAAAAAAGTTATCAAAACTCATTAGGAACATGAGCAGGTTCGCCAAACGTACAGCCAAAATTACAACCCTTGGTTAAAAGACTGCGGAGTAAAGAGATCATTGCTCACTGCACATCCTCGGTTAACCCTCAGTGTCGTCGTCACCGCGCTGAGGTACACCACAACAGCAACCATCCATAGGCTGGCCATACATGTACATCCTCGGTTAACCCTCAGTGTCGTCGTCACCGCGCTGAGGTACACCACAACAGCAACCATCCATAGGCTGGCCATACATGTACATCCTCGGTTAACCCTCAGTGTCGTCGTCATCGCGCTGAGGTACACCACAACAGCAACCATCCATAGGCTGGCCATACATGTACATCCTCGGTTAACCCTCAGTGTCGTCGTCACCGCGCTGAGGTACACCACAACAGCAACCATCCATCAGATGGCTAAGCCTAAATGTCCGACAAAACTGGACCATACGGATCAAAATCTGACCATCACAATTTGTACTGAACTGAAAAAGACCAAATGCCCACACCCAAAGACCCCACTCGCCCGAGTGTTGGGACAAAACTGATAACGATATGCCTGATGCAGGATGTAAAATTCTATCGGGCTAACGGCTCGTCAAAGAAATCTAACGTGCGAAGAAAAAAAAAAGAATGTACCTATCTGTGTGGTCACAAAAGTCCAAAACCCACGGGCTGCTCCCCGCTGACTTCCAGAGGGAGCAGCCCCTGTCGAGCGGGAGGCCTGATACGGTTGTGAGGTTAAGCAGGCATGTGCAGGACGTGACAATTCCTTGAGTGAGCCCAGAACCAGAGCGCCATGTGCCGGCTCTGCATAAATGGAAGCCTCCTTGGATGGCGGGGAATGCCCATGATCTGCCCCTGCCTTCCCTTGAGGGCTAACTGTTCCACAGAGGGCTGCCCCAAAGGGATGCTCAGGAGGCAATACCTGCGGAGAAGTGGACACCACACAAATCAGGCAACGTCTTGACCCACACAAAACAATGGCCACAGTCACCCTAGAAATAGGCCTGACGTCCTCCCTCGAAGTCGGAGTACAGCTGCCCATGAGGCAGGGAAATGAAAAACGGTTGTACACGCAAAAATCAGGTCCAGGTGAAAGCCAAAAGTCCAGGCGGACGATTAACCGGGACCTTCCACTGGAATTCACAGCCAGTGTTCGATATAATAATAATAATATTTTATTGCTTAATCAAGGCACACACACTGATCTGATCCAAGACACTTGCTGGCTGTGTTTTACCTGGACTTAAAAAACGGGAAGCAAAGAACACTAACACTGCCCTATGAAGCAAATTGTCAAGAAGTGATTGTAGGTAGGTCTTGGAGTTGGCTACATCATCTCATGAAAATTACAGCCACAATAATAAGCCGGCTACGAAGAGATTTAGAAGGAAAAACACAAACAAAATCAGAATCAGCTAACCACACGGAGTGAGCTGCACATCAGGGCAGAGGATAAGATGACTTAGTGGGGACACTTCTGCTGCCCAGCTACTCAATCAAGTGCACAGCGCAACAATGTCAACTGCAGATTTTATTTGGAATGCCTTTCTCCTGCACCGAACAGGGCTGGGGTTGTGAACTTCAAATGGCCTGTTTTTAACAGAACTGGTGGTACCTTATGCGATACTGCATGTGTATCTGCTGATCTAATGTAACTACATATTCCATTGACAACAAACTGCAGCTCTAGTTATGGACTGCTTGTGTTGGCACTTCTGATAGCTACCTTATGTACTTAGTGCGTCTTTGTGCTAATATTGACTTTACTCAAACTGCAATGTTTTTCACATTTTTCACAAAGGACGACAATGGACATCCTCTATGGTCTCCCCCAACACGGGAACAGAGCAAACATTGGAGGGGTGACACATTTGCCATTGGTCCACTGAAATGATCAACTGACTTGGTGGGCTAAGGCCCTATGCTCCAAGTGGGGATACAGAGCAGAAGAAGAGGAAGACTCATAACTCATGATCATATATGACTAATGGCATGACCCATGAAGATGACAGTAATGTTTTTAAGTATATATATTTTTTTAAATATCCAGAAACCATGAGTTGTTAACCCTTTGGCTCGGTACTATGGATATCACAACCCTTGCGCCTTGATTCCATGATAAGATACCGTAAATCTGGGAGAAATGTGGCTTTTCTCTACCCCAGGGCGTGAACCCAGACCACGAGGAGCCCGTCACCCAGTGGCCACACAGCCAGTTATAACCAACTGCGCTAGCTAGCCGGGCAATTAAGTATACAGAACCATAAACTCATGAATTATATAACATACTTTTTGGCTGTTCCTGCACAGCGGAGGGGACTGTTTTGGTAGTTATAGTAAATGGCAAAATCTGGTCTGCAGGACGTGGTTGCCAGGTTGCCTGCCAGAGTTCGGCATGATCTTTCATGAAATGCTGCAGCATAAGTGTCCCAGAGTAGTGCCAGATACGGAAGCTGAAAGAGAAGAGGCATATTGAAAAACGTAATGAAAAATATCAACTTCCTGGAGTGCCATTACATGTTACAAAGAGAACTGATGACTCAGTTCAGAAAGAAACAATCTACAGTTTTTGGTCATATGATGAGAAGAAGAAAACTGGAGTACATCGTGAGAGTAGGAAAGTTGGAGGGAAGGAGAGGTAGAGGGAGACCGAGAGAACAGATACTGGACAGTGTGACATCATGGCATGAAGGATCATCTGTGTCAGAGATGATTGAAAGTACACAAGACAAAAGGTTGTGGATATCATGTCTACCAACGCCACATGGCATGGACTTTGAGAAGGGCTCACAGTCTAGTCCTTCATCCCTTGCAATCCTCTCCATGTCATGAATGTGATCCAGACCAGTGTCTTTGGCCTCCCTCAACAACTAGGGTTTCTCATGGATGTTCTCACATGCTCAAGCCATTTTTTAGTTGTTCAATGTCTGTCAAATAAGACAAGAGACCAAGCAAGATAATCTAATTTTACAAGAAAGTGCCGCTGGAACTACATCGGCCATGTACTCAGAATGGATAAGACAAAGCTTCCCCCCAAAAAGCCCTCATATGGACACCAGAAGGGAAAAGAAAACACAGAAGACCAAGAGATTCGTTGCATAGAACTATCATTAGGAAGGTTCAACCATGGGCCTTATGAACACCCAAGACCTAAACCAGGTGGCAACAAACTGCCACACAAGGAGAGCTATGATCTCTGCCCTATGTACTGCCCTAGGCTCAAGAGGAAAGACTAACTAAGGGTCTGATTTGTTTTCTTCATCCATTTCTCCACATAATGTGCTCATTTTATGATCATCTTTTTTTCTCTCTTATAACTGACGATACAAGATAACAAGTGAATGGTCGAGGTAATTATGTAAGAAATGTGATGTTTCTTCAATCAATTTGTTTCCCATTTCCGTATCTGGTGATTTCTCCTCATGATGTGCTCAATGTATCCTCGTCTTAACCGTCTTATAACTGACGATACAAGAGTGAATGGTTGAAGGAATTATGCAAGAAATGTGCTGTTTCCCTGATCCATTATGTTTCCCGTTTCAGTATCTAGTGATTCTTTGTCCGTTTCTCCTCATGATGTGCTCAATGTATCATCTTACCTGTCTTATAACTGAGATACAAGAAAACAAATGAAAGGCTGAGGGTATTATGGAAGAAATGTGCTGTTTCCTCAATCCATTTGTTTCCCATTTCAGTGTCTGCAAAATTCAACCAATCATGAAAATGTCAACAAGGGTTTGGCATGAGTCTTGAGAGCCTACTGGATTCTCCCATTAGGAGATGAACGGCAGAACAAAAAGCCAGCCAAACTGAAACACAGATTGGACTTTCTACTGAGTTCTCAGTTCCATCAAAATAAACATTGAAGGTTTCCGTGGTGAAGTGGTCGAGCCGTTTGCCTCGTGCTCTGAAGGTTCATTTTATGGCTGAGTTGTTTGGTTCAGGAGTGCTCTTTTTTTTTTGGCTTATTCTTTTTGTGGAGACCAGAGCTACGGGGTTCATGCTTTGAGCTACAGTTGACTAGCCGTTCTGCCAAGAGAGGCTAAGCCATACATCAGGGTCCAAGGCAGGGCTATTCAACAGGCAGCCCTGTAGCAAGTGGCTTGCAGATCACTGCCAGCTGCAGTCTTGTATTAATGATCTTTTCATGCTGGGGCCTTTGGCATATAACGATACCTATTTTTAAAATTGTGGCCCCTGAGTAAGCATAGTTGAATAGCCTTGCCTTATGGAATCAAACCTGCCGCAATGAAGCTGATTCTTTCAACTTTAACTTCAAAATTTATTTAAAATTTATAAAAAATGTCCAAAATTACCCATTTCCAACCCTAAGTCTTGGTGCTGTTGTTGCAGTCAGAAGATGCTGCCCATCAGGACACCATTCAAAATAGGTCGTGTCTGTTGACTGTGTCTTCGTGATCTGCTTTTTCTGCTTCATGTCCCAGAATTCTAGACTTCCTGGCAGATTCCCAAAGCCACCAATACACAGAAGTAGGCTCGGGTTAAGGATTTGTCTGATTTATCATTTCCATGTCACAAAAGGGTAATTACAAGTTTCAAAGTGTCAAGGACTGCACTTTCAAGGTTTTATCCCAAAAGGCTTGGTCTCTACCCAAGAAGTGGCTGGTCACCTGCCAGGAACACCACACAAAGAATGAACTCAGAAGCACCAGCAATAACCCCCTCACTAGTGAAATACAATTCACCAACAACAACAGTAGAATCACAAAGTTCTTTCTTAGCATGCCTGTGTTTGCAACTGTGGCTTAGGCACAGCGAACCGGTTTTGTAATGCTGAGATGCCAGATTCTATCCCAGCTGCGGGTGCTATGGCAGCAGACCGCCTTGTGTTTTGACAGTGTTATTGAGAGCCTACCGTTTAGAAACAATGACAAACTAATTAAAGTAAAACTGCTCTGTGACATCACAAACAGCACACACACACACCCCCCCCCCCCCCTCCCTTTTCCTCTAAAATGCTGGGGTTGTTTCTGCAACATCATGGAAAGGACACATAACTAACTTTTTTTTTTTAAACTGCATGTATGTGCCATATTTGAGGATGGTGGAGAATAGGTGAACCATATGGCTAGTGCAATCATCATGAAATGAGCAGGTTAGAATTTTATTTTTTGCAATCAACAGACACACTTCCCTGAAGGTGTCTCCATCTTGCCATGGTGGGGGAGCCTGTGAGAGCTATGCCAGCAGTAGCCAGAAAGGTCGAAGGGTAGAAAACAGTCAAAGAGAGACACCATGGTCCTCCAGGTTGGGGGTTGAAGCGTGGGGCCAACACCCCCACCTTTATAAAACTTCATTTCGTCACGAAACAGACTGAGACTTTCAAATGATAGAGAGGTAAAAACCAAAGGAAGCTGAATGGTTGAAGACCATGAGGTAGATCAAAAAGACGATGGAGAGATTATGTCCAGATAGACCTGAAACACATGGTGTCACCAAGTGGATAGAGAAGGACAACCAGAGAGATGAGTGGAGGCAGATGATTTCTGCAGCAATGAACCTCAAAGGCTCAGAACAATAAAGATGTAGAAGAAGAATCAACACACATAAATTATCCACCTAATTAACAAGGTCTCAAACCCAGGTCTCATTACTGAGAATCCAGCATTGTACCCACTTGGCTAGCTACTCCTCTCAGAATCCCACAAAGACTTCAAAAAAAAAAAGGATATTAGTTCCCTGAGGGTTGAAAGAGCAGATATTTCTAGGACCCGTTCCAAAATCAAACACAGGTTCACATTTGAGACTGAAGATTGTCGTCTTAGCTGGCATGTCTGGACAAAATTGCTGTTAAGGAAACAACCTATGATGTGGAGTGAACATCTTTTTAAAGAGAAAAATTTGTACATTAGGGTTCATCATCATCAGGTTAGTCAGCATTCTTCATCTTCTGTGGTCATCACAGTTACCAGGCTGTAGACCCGTTATGGTTTCTGTATCTGTCTTTCTTGTGCTCTTGTGTGGCCTAAGTAACAGATTTTGTTTCTTGTTTTTGTTTGTTTGCTGTTGCAGGATTCAGCTATACCATTAATCTATGTTTTCCTTGGACTTCCTCTCACTTTCTACCAGATGTTCTTCTGATGAAAGTCTCATGTGCAGTTTGAACTGGGAGCATTCTTACTAGACAGCCAAACTATTTCATTCCCTGTCTTTCAATGTAATTCAGGCTGTCTTATTCTGACCTTCTCTCTAAAACTGGTATTTCTGACCATGTCCCCATGGATTTGCTAACAACCTTTCACAGAGAGAGTGCATTTCACAGGTATATATTTTCTGTTCCTTTTCAGGATAGCTTACCTGCCTCTGGACCAAGCCTGGCATCCAGCTCTCACCTGTGGCTCCTAGTGGTTAAATTCATGTGGCAGCGATTCCCCCCCCCCCTCCCTTTCCACCCTTTCCATTACCGGGTAATGGCTTTGACAGGCCGGGTAAACCAGGTGAGGGTAATCTAATGGTTGGTAGCCCTCAGTGAGCCAGGATCCGCTTATCCAACATGCAAAGACTGGACTCAGCTGAATGTGTGGAGGAAAACAATATACTTGGTTCAACAGACCTGACTGGGAGTCCCAGCGACTGCTCTGTGGACAGTAAAGAGTGCGGTGAGGCAGGCATAAGACCCTGATCATCCAGTGCATACTGCTTCATCTCTAGTCGCCTCGACTTGTCTGGCCACTGGATCCAGATGGACACAGGCAAAAGAATGAGGTACAGCGACACTGCGCAACTCTTCTTCACTTGAAACCAATTCATCCTGCAAGCCACTCTTTCAACAGACAACCCGCCACAGTTTCACGCCAGATGAAAGAAAAGAGTGGTCTTCATCACTTGTTATGGATGAACAACCCAACCCAAACCATTTTCTGATCCTGTGATCTATTCATACTGAACATACAAGCAAGTCATCTGATCATATCACTTCACTGTATTCTATTCTAAGTATCACTTTCTCATCATCATTATTTACCCTGCTATTAAGTGTCATGCGGTCATGTTTCACCATTCTACACGATCACAAAAATCACAGATCATATCAATGCTCTTGTTTCGCTCCCATCCATATGGTCAGCCATCCAGGTATTTATCTTGTGCCTCCCCCTTACTCTTTTTCCATCAATCTTGCCAGCCATCAGCAAGTTCTCAAGTTTATTTCTTCTCAAAACATGTCCACAATATCTGAACACGTCTCATTTCTGTGACCAGTTTATGGTTTTTATCTGTCTCCATCAGGACGGTATCCTTTGCTTCTCCATGATATCTCTGAATTCTAAAAAAAAAAAAAAAAAAAAAAAATCACACCTCTACTGCTATTAGTTTTCCACCTTGCCCGCCTACTGCCCTTGATTTGTATGCACACAAAAGCACAGGTTCTATACAGCACTTGAGCACTTAATTATTTAGCACTTTAGCACTCAGTTATATAGCACTTTAGCACTCAGTTATATGGCACTTTAGCACTCAATTATATATAGCATTTTAGCACTTAGTTGTATAGCACTTTAGCACTCAGTTATATAGTACTTGAGCACTAAGTTATATAGCAATTGACCACTTAATTATATAGCACTTGAGCACTCAATTATATAGCACTTTAGCACTCCGTTGTATAGCACTCAATTATATATAGCACTTTAGCACTCAGTTATATAGCACTCAAGCGTTTTAACATATCCATAATATCTAACAAAAATGGACATGTTTGTGCACACACAAAACAACAGCAAAAATACATGAAGCTGCTTTTATTGACCACAATTTGTCCCGCTGAAAGCAAAGGATACATCCATATATGACCACAAATTCAGTGCTGTTTGGTGCCCACTCCACATGATACACTGGACCTTGCTTTTCTGCACAGACAATGTGAACATCATCATTATTAACCCAGCAATGGATGAAAACATTCTCAAAAACTTGTTCAGGACCACTGTGCAAAAATATGATGCTACTAGTGTATAACATTGACTTTCATTACGACTTGGCTACCAGTGACTGGAAAATCCTAACTGAGATGAGATTTCTTAGGAGAGTTTACTGCACAGAGAACCACGCTGAAGAAATAAAATGAACACAGAGCAAGGGGAAGATATCGTAAAATATGGAACAAAGGCAGCATGAACAATCTTTAGAGGAAATAAATAAAGATGAAGAGATACAACAATCAGAAACACCACACAGACAATATAGATCTTCCCTCAAAACTCTACTGAGGTAAACAAAGGAAGAAAAGAAAATGGCAATGTGCAAAAGCATGTTGTTGTTTTAAAAAAAAAAGGAGGGGGGGGGGGGGGAGGTCTTCTTTCAGACCCCCAGGTCAACAAATTCACACTAATTGTTTTTCCTTATTAAAAAGTTGCGGAACTGGCTGTTTAAATAAATTAAAATGGTTTTTATTTCCTGGTGTAGTTGCTACTTGGGAAGGTGGTGAGTTACTTGCTCTTTTTCTTCTTCTTTTCCATTACTATGTACATGTATGCCTGTGGTCATTAAAAGTGAGCAGAAGAAAACTGACTTCACTGTGCCAGGTTTGTATCCCATTCGCAGAGTAGCCTGTCACCCATGGGAGCACTGCACAAAGCATGTACTCAGCAGCTCTTGCAAGGACCCGCACGAATCTCCTAAAAAAGCTACTTACAAACTGAAGTGCAGAGCGTGAAATTGAACCCACAGCCTTTAGAGCACAATGCAGATGGTTAGACGCTTTGTCACGGAGACTGCCATTTCTATTCAGTGTAGGTGTTTATTGTTCACAGTCTGAAGTCACAGTCTTCTAAAGTCTTCTCTTCAATGCCTGGCCTCTTTGGTGCATGATACATATGCTACAACTGAAGTTTAGACGCTTGTATACAAGGTTTTTCAAAATCCTGCAGTGACTTCATGGTTCATTTACATCTGTTTGCAGTTGTTACTGATCAAACGACACATTTCAGTAAGAACAGTCTAGTCTTAGCACAATCTTTAAATCCTCAAGGAAACATGAAAGAAATAATGAACTTCCTCAGGGAGAGGCACCAGACAGCTACCACAAGCTGACATAACAAAATCATGTATTTACTTATGTAGAGATGCCTAATAAATTTCATAAATCAACAGAAATAATTCATGAATTTATTCACGTAAAGATACCAGGCATTTATTTACACAAGCTAACAGAAAGAAATGAATAATTTATTCATGTAGAAATACCAGACAGTCACAAGTCCATGGACAGAAATCATGAATTTACTCACGTAGATGCTGGGAAGTCTCTGCTTGCCTTATGCTCTGAGGGTCAAGGATTTGTTTCATGGCTGCCTCATTCAGTTCATTACACGAGTGCAATTTTATGATGATCCCTGGGGATTATCACCACAGCTACAGTGTTTGTGCTTTATGCAACACTCTCAGCGGGCGGCTAGCTATTCTGCTGGGAGAGACTGAGCCCTATGAGGTAACACCTGGTGCAATGAAGTTGATTCACCCAATTTCAACATTTAACGTAGATATACTACATAACAATCACAAGTCAACAGAAAGAAATGATGAATTTACCTAAGTAGAGATACCAGACAATTATCATCAGCTGACAGAAACACATCATGCATTTACTTACGCAGAGGCACCAGGCAGCTATCGGAAGCTGTTGAGAGAAAGTGCAGTCCTTGGTCACCATAGTAAGAACTGTCTGAGCTCTCTGTCGACGTCAGAACCAAAGGCTGTTCCCTGTGTGAAGAGCCAAACTATTATATTCAACCCACCATAAAGTGAAAAAAATTAACTGCTATACTCAACCCACCATAGTGTGAAAGAACAGAAATATTAACACCATAAAGTGAATAAGACCATACAGTCTCAAAAGGCCTGTGACATGCATCCAGTTTCTACAGGCCTCTGCTCTCAAGACCAGCTGCAATGCCAGAATAGGGCCATTCCTTAATCTGAGGACTAGATTTGATCCTATATCACTCAGGTGAAGACGTGATGCTTACTACATCACCCTTCAAGTGTCAACTGGTCTTTAAAATATGGGTCTAGCCCTGTATGCCCAATATGTCTGAAGGTGTGGGAAAAGGTTCCTTTACTTTACTTGTAATACTTGCTCAGGTGAAATGTGGTGACAGAATCACTAATGTGAAGCTTTGCAAAGAGAAATAATCAAATTACAGTAAATCGAGAGGAAATAAAAAGATGCAGGCATTGAAATGCACTTTTCACACAATGAAAATAACTTAATAATATAGCAAGAATGTACTTGCACTGGTAACCATTGGGTCAAAAGGAATAAAGGCAGATTAAAAAACAAAGAAGAAAGAATGAGTGAAAACGAGGGGGTGGAAGAAGTATGGACAGGACACACACAATGAATATGTCGCGTTACTAAGACATTGAAACAAAGGAGTCAAGAGACAAATGAATCACCTGTTGGAAACGGACAAGCATGCAGAAATCAGTGAAGGTTTTTTAAAAAAAAACAATGTCAATTAACTCTTAATGGATAATGAGAATGCGGACCCTGAGATGACTGCAGCACTGGAGGACGGAGCGGGGTTAAACAAAGATATGTCAATCAACTCTTACTGAATAAGATGAATATGCAGACCCTGAGATGGTTGGAGCATTGGAGGACAGAGCAGGGTTAAACAAAGATATGTCAATTACCTCTTACTAAATAAGGTGAGTATGCAGACCCTGAGATGGTTGGAGCATTGGAGGACAGAGTGGGGTTAAACAAAGATATGTCAATTACCTCTTACTAAATAAGGTGAGTATGCAGACCCTGAGATTGTTGAAGCATTAGAGGACAGAGTGGGGTTAAACAAAGATATGTCAGTCAACTCTTACTGAAGTAGGTGAGCATGCAGACCCTGAGATGACAGCAGTATTGGAGGACAGAGCGGGGTTAAACAAAGATATGTCAGTCAACTCTTACTGAATTAGGTAAGTATGCAGACCCTGAGATTGTTGAAGCATTAGAGGACAGAGCGGGGTTAAACAAAGATATGTCAGTCAACTCTTACTGAATTAGATGAATATGCGGACCCTGAGATGGTTGGAGCATTGGAGGACAGAGCGGGGTTAAATAAAGATATGTCAGTCAACTCTTACTGAATAAGATGAATTCCGGGGCCTGACCCTGAGGATGGCTTGGAGGCATTGAAGTAGGACAGAGCAGGGTTAAAAAAAAGATATGTCAGTCAACTCTTACTGAATAAGATGAATATGCGGACCCTGAGATGGTTGGAGCATTGGAGGACAGAGCAGGGGTTAAATAAAGATATGTCAGTCAACTCTTACTGAATAAGATGAATATGCAGACCCTGAGATGGTTGGAGCATTGGTAGGATGACTAGAGGCCGGGTTTAAAAAAAAGATTTATGTCAGTGCAACTCCTTACTGAAATAATATAAATTATGCAGACGGCCTGAGATGTGGTTGGAGGTCATTGGGAGGACATAACGCATGGGTTAAAAAAAGATATGTCAGTCAACTCTTACAGAATTAGGTGAGCATGCAGACCCTGAGATTGTTGAAGTGTTGGAGGACAAAGCATAAACGGATCAAACTGATGTGCTAGGATATTCATAGATAACAAATAATAAGAAGATACAGCATCTGACACAAGGATTATATTAACAATGAACAGTAAAGGATTACACTGACAATAAACCTTAAAAGTTTCTTTTTAAAACTGGTCTACACAAAATACAGCATCTTGCAGGCACGGTGAACTTATACCTGGTCGATTCCAGAAAAAGTTGACTCGGTCCGCTTTGAAAAAACTCTTGTTCACTAAAGTCGACTCTGGTCCTCCAAAATTTGGATAACGGTAAATACGAACAAAAGATGGCTGGCCCTGAAATATTTTGTTCAGAAACAGTCACAGCAAGATAAACGAATCCAGAAGCATGTTAACTGACAATATACAGTAGCTACCTAGACAAGAGGGAGCTGAGATAGTGCAGTGACTATATGCTTGCTCTTCGTTGGCCGCTGAAGTTTTTTAGTGTTAGAGGATCTTAGCACTGGGACATGTTGTCTTGGGGCTGACCTTTAGTTCCACAAGTGTATCGCCGAAGTCAAGGAATGGATACAAGGATGTGTCTAGGGAAGTAAAAGCAGCCAGCATGGTGGTGACACTATGCTCGTCAAATTTTGATCGGTCTTTAAAAATATGAGTCTTCTTCTTCTCTCCTTAAAAGAGTGGTAAGCACACTGTATTGAGGTTTACAGCTAGGCTGCAATATCTGTGCCTTTCAGTCCAACACATTTCAGCAAACTTCTAATGAATTACTTTATATGAGACATACTTGTTAGGATGCAGTGAGTCGATTGTGTTGTTTCCCCCCCTAATGGCATCCCCCCCTTACCGCCCTCCCCCACCCCCTCCATTCAAGACCACCCCCCCCGTTTTCCCCTGTCTCATAACCCCTTGGGTGAACTATGAGTCTTTATCTACACTTGTTCGCGATCTCTTTTACAATGATTTGCCAAAATTTTTGTTTGTTTCATTTGTTTAAATCACTTTACTGTATCAGGTTTCATCCCGTAATACACAGTCTCTTTCCTCAGAGCAGCTGTCTGGCTTCTGAGAGAGTTGTATAAGGCACACACTCTACAGATTCAGAGATGACCTGCAGGGATCTTAGAAACATTTGCAGTTGTGAGTCGAACAATGTAGCCTGGAAATGAATTCACAGCATTCAAAATTTGAGGCAACTTTAATATTAAGACCGCCTTTTTGTAATATCTCCTACGTCCCAATGTCAGACGCAGTTTTTTTGTCGTTTCAAAGCCCTACCTCGGCTTTTGCCGGAGGCCCTAAAATAAACCAACCTATGGGTTGAACAAGGTTTCTGGGACCATGCCTCAGGTGAACCTCATCCCAATGGTGGCACTTTTTATCATCGGGTGTTTACTGCTCAGTGTGTATGTCCTGGTGGTGTGGAACATTATCATCATCATACAAGGCCTTTCTACAGAAAAGTGGTAGATTACAAAGCTTTTGTTATTGTTGCTGGCAACTTTCCAGATAATAGTTTTACAGTGTGTTACAGAGAGGTATGAGAACCAAGGGTCATGGATGAAGTTCCCCCTTAACATAGCACAAAGCCCGGACAGTATTGCCGAGACCATGTGATGTCCATGCAGCATGACGATAAGCCTACTGACGTCCATGTACAAAATTCAGTTACACTCTGAGATGGGTCGGTCATGCTGCCTTGTATCTAGCAAATCTAAGCAAAGAATCCTGTAGAAGATGCTGTCACTGTTGTGTGAAATGTCAGTCCTTTCCCATATTCTAGAATAGTTTCTCTTCTACGCATTTACCAGCTATAAATTCTGGTTGTTCAACACTTGTGGACATCTGCCTTTTTCTAGAACCTAAGTTGACTGTGACCTCACAGACCTCAGTATCCTGGACAACAAATCTATGACATGCTCTTGATCTAGGTCATACTCAGTGAGTCTGTTACAAACATGTCAGGCTGTGCTGTTCTCATGTCATTGGAATCCTGCTGTTACTGCCTCCACATCTCATACTGAATGTGTGACACTGTACATCAGGCTCTCTGTTTTCAAGCAGTGTCCATTCATCTAGACAATAAAAACCCCACCCAGCTTTTCATCTTTCCCCACGGACCCATTTGTATACATTATGATGTTGTCAGCTGGGCGTGCATTTTCATTGATCAGCTGGATACTTGACTAGATGTACTCCGACTTTGTAGGAAACCCCTAATTAGTCAACTCTTGTGACAACCTCGTTAAGGAGGCAGTGGGTCTATTCTGTTTTTTCCCTCTCCCCTCACTGGGGCCCAGAACCGACAAGAGAAATATTCTAGAATATGACATAATAAAGTGGGACTGTTACATAACTTTCTTGTTTCCTTTCCACTGCTGAACTTTTATTTTTATATTTTTTTTATTTACATTGTCCAGTACCCATTTTATGAAGCTGTGTCAACCACAGAACTGTACTCGTTGGGGGAGAAGTGCTGACTGGGAGTGAATCTGGACCGGTTACTCAGAATGGCGTAACAAAGGCCTATGACTAGCTATGCTCATTATGGCCTGCTAGCGATCTGTATAAGTCTAGCTTTGGTACTTGTCGTGCAGCAGATTTATGTACACTGTTTCTGCCCCACAGATGTGTACACCGCCTCTGCCCCACAGATGTGTACAAGTCTTTGTCTGGCCACAGGTGAATGTGTTTATGTACAGTCATCTCTGCCGTCCTCGGCGCCCCTCCCCGCCCTTATGTGTATCACTGCTGCTCGCCTCTCACAGTATATGTACACTGTTTCTGGCCGCGGCACAGATGTGTAGCACGCGAGGCTACCTGTAAGGAGGGGGTTGGCGGCTGGGTGTCTGTGGGAGTTGTTGTGGCTGGTCCTTTCTTTTTTTGTTTTATGTCTGATTTAGTTCTCTGTTGTGTTATTGTATCTAGGGGGAGGGTGGGTGGTGCGGCGTGGGGGGTGAACTGATTTTCCTTTGAGAGGGTGTGGTATGTGGTGATGTCTGGTTGTAATGAGTGACCCCTCGCGGGCCGTGGGCGCGGGCCTTGAAACCGCGCGCAGAACAAAAGCCAAAAGAAAAAAAAGATGGGGGGCTCCCGTGTCTGTTAGAGGACTTGGTCCAGCTTTACTTAATAATATTGAGAGTGGATATAGAGGACGTATGTCGAGTGTCGGAGTTTGCCTGGCGCGGAACTAGAACGGTAACTGAGACTAGTGGAACGCATTCGATTGCTGGCGCCTGCTGGTGGGCGGCAACGGCGAGGTGTTGCGTGGGGCCCGCTGCTACAGGACTAGTTAGTGCCATTGATTCTCGCGATGTCGACGGAGCCGTGTACGAGGGCCATTCGGAATGTGTAGCAAATCTTTGTCCCACAGATGTGTATGTACATCATCTATGCCCCCCCCCCCCAGATGTGTACACCGTCTCTGCCCCACAGATATGTACACTGTTTCTGCCCCCACAGATGTCAACAAAGGACCTATTTTCATATCCTGAGGCATTTTTGGGCACAGGCTGCTAGCTCCAATTGTTAACTTACTGACTGGTATGTATGTGATGGGTTGATTGAGGCTCAATATCATGGGCCATCTTTCGCCTGTTATGGGCTTGCTCAGAGTCGCCTTATGCAGGGATGAAATGTTGAATGCTGGATCAGGAATAGACATCACAGCACTCTGGAAACTCCCATAAGCACTCCATCCCCATCTTCAGTAGCAAGCAAAGAGTTCCAATTCTAATGGCACCAATAACTGTCTGATTATACATCCGTCTCGCTTTTCCCTTTAGTGTTGAGCGTCTGCCTGATCCCCAGTTAACTTCTCACAGCGCCATTCTCCTCAGGCCATAATGATCCATCTATGCCTTCTCACTGTTCACTCACTCCCAAAGGGCGCTCACAACAACCAGTTTGTCATATATCAATTCACTACCAAGTGGTGCAGAACCGGCCATTCATAGTTTTCTATAAGGAAAAGGAGGGGGGGGGGGGGGGAGAGAGAACAGACCCAATGCCGCCTTATGTCATCATTGCAGACGAATTAGAAGTGTTCCCTCTGAAATTTTATTGCATCTGCCTGAGAGGTGAGGAACCAACAATTTGCAGACTAATAAGCCAGATCTGCTAAACAGATGTTGCAAGCAAAACTCCAGTTCTGGAAGAAGACTAAAGTTCAAAAGTGGATGAAAAACCAGAACTTTCCGCCCGGAGTTTACAGCCGATGAATGCCAACAAGAAAACTGGCCACCATTACTTTGCAGAAAACTTTCTGGTTTACTTTTTTTTAATTGTGTTGACCTGGATTGTGATTTTAGCGATGATGAAAATAAGGATCACTGATGCTGTCTGACATCAAGAACTAGCTACAAATAACACAAGTTATAGACTGGTCAAAACACTGGATTGTATTTGAAAGCACCTTATGCTTCTCCCCTCTATTGAGCTTTCTAGTAAGCTTCAGTCAAGTTAAGTAACTCTCTGGTACATGCTTAGGTTTCTATCATAATGAAAGATTTAACTAAGATTTTTTTTTTAATTGAAGAACTTGCCTTGGAACCCGGCACATAAGCTGCTATAGTGTAAGGAGCAGAATTCTTGGCCAGACTGAATGCAGACACTTTCTGGAGGTGCAGTTTAGTTACAATCGTGTCTGGAACAAATATAGTTTATATGCAATTATGTAACAAATACAGTTTACATGCAACTGTGCCCTGGAACAAATATGGATAACATATAATTGTATATGGAACAAATATTGTTTACATGCAATTTTGTCTGAGAGTGGCTGCAAATTGTCTGGAATGAGTTTAGTTGCAACTTCTGGGTCTGTAACAAAGTTTAGTTGCAATTATCAGTGTTCATTTTAGAGGTCATCTTCACGGCACATGGGACATGACCATAAGTGCTCCAAACTCCTCCTGAGTGTGCCTCCAAGTGGTTTTATAGGCTAACAACTCCCAAGTGTCCATCATCATTATGCTTTATATTTCTATGTGATCTTCTCTTATCATTCTTCTATACAACCACATCTCTGCAGCTTCTTATTTACAATAATAATTGACCGTCCATGAATTTCTTCCATACACCAGGATCGGCTCTGTATAAGAGAGGCATTCAGAATGTAATACACCACATCATTTTTTCTCAGCTGATAATGAAGACAGAAGCATGAAAGTGTGTACAGTCGAGTCCACTTAAGTCGAGCTCGGATAAGTAGAATTTCGATTAAGTCGACATGACCAGCTTAGTCCCGGCAATTTTCTCTATTGTCTGTGCTGTCTGGATAAGTAGAAATCCTAATAAGTGGAAGCATTTTCTTAGGTCCCTGCGACTTCTACTTATCTAGACTCGACTGTATACTTTAAACACAGCAGGTGCCAATTGTGTGTACCTAATTGCACCACAACCTGGCAAATAATACAACTGCCCTAAACTGTTCAAATGCAGTATGTTAGCAACTTGCGTTATAAGCAGTGAATTGTGACAGAATTTCTTACTGCAGAAAAAGAAACTGTTGTGAACATTCACAAGCATCTGTGTGATGTGTATGCAAGTTTTACAGTCAACAGGAGTACAGTCAGTCGCTGGGTTCTAAGAATCAAAGAAAGAATCAGGAATTGGAGATATGGAACTTATGACTGTCACCAACGTGGAACCAAAGAACAAACTATATTTTCAAAGGGTTAAGAATAGGGCACACAGGTCCATCTAACATTCTCCTCTTTCAGTCCATTCCTTGCAAACAGATTTTTTTATTTGTACATCATTTAATAGTTAATAATTTTTTTTAAATGTTCATAACATCTAAGTCTTAAAAACAAACTCTGGAATGTGCTCTAATTTTGCTTACATTACTGAATGTAAAAAGTATAGTAATAAACCTAATCCAATAATATGAATAAGAATTAAAGTCAGGAGATGTGAACCAGCATCACTGCACACACATTTAAACCATAAGTGCTCTGCCACCAGTACGGACAGCGGATAAGAAACTGTCTGCCTTTGTCGCCGTCTGCACACAACTCTGTAGCTACAGCGACATTTCTCCATTTACCTCAGTGTTAACTCTGGTACCCATCTCCTAGAGGCTGGGTAAACCCCAGGAACCACCCAGTTTCGAACACCGGCCGTGGGCTGCAGTAAGTCGCAGCTGGATTTGAAACCAAGTCTCCTATCGACTGCGCTAATGCAGCCCCCGATAATATAATAATATAAACATCATCAACAATTAAATATGTGCTGAAATGTGTAGAGGACATTATTCTTACCCAAAGGGGTCAACCACTACTCAATTCTTCTTCTTCTTTCATTTGCCTGAAATAAGTTGTCTATATAAGCAGTTTTGTCTCTTGTATAAATTTCACTGTCGTTGTTAGTTCATTCAGTGGTCGATAGAGTTTACGTTCCACTGTTGTTCTTTCTGGCCAAAAGGTTTGCCTTAATGTGTCAAATTCGGTGCAGTCCTAGAGCACATGCTCTGCTGTCTACGGCACCTTTCCACAGGTGCACATGGCTGATACGCCTATCTTGAATTTTGTGTACATGTAGTTACGTAATCGGTTACGCCCTGTTTTGAGGCGGAGGATAATGACTTGTTTTGATCTCTCCATAATAAAATAGTTGTCTTGTGCTGGGGCTGGTGGTTTCCTGACCGATTTAATGATTCTTTTCTTTTGATGGTATGTGACTGGTACATCCGGCTGCACTTTTGTCGCACCTTCCCCTGCTAGTTGATCAGCTTTCTCATTTCCAGGCACCCCACAATGTGACGGTATCCACTGCATTACAACTCTTCGCTGAAGGCCGAGTTGTGTCAGCAGTGTTTGCAATTCTGGTAGTTTCCTCGACTGGAGTGCTTCAAGTACTGATTTTGCATCTGTCAGCATTACCACATACTGTGAGCCAAGATTGGTATTTAGCAGTTTCTCTGTTGCTATCTTAATAGCCTGAGTTTCAGCATCAAAGTTATGGCAGTACTTCCGGGTTGGTACGCTGGACTTATCCCTAGTACCATCTGGGAATTCTATGTATAATTACTCAATGATTGGAATTACAGCTATCAGTCAGCAATGGTAATGTAAATGCAATTGAAAAGACTGTGATTTTCTAAGGTCTGTGCAAGATGAGTTCCTCCAGTTTCACAAATCACCAGCAACTGAGAAGAATTATCTGAAGAATTTCTCAGTAACATGTAAGTCAAAAAGCCATGTTATTGTGTGTAGTATCTTTAATGTGTGGCTCCCCCCCCCCCCCTTTTTTTTTCCGTGATTTTAAAATGTGTTCATGTCTTTTTGTATGTTGTCCTAGGAAAGATAAAACTTCTGAAAACTTTAACTTTAATTTTCTGGTGTACCGTAGGCTGTAGATAGACCACAAGTAGATTTTTATACATGCAAAACATTTTTCAGGAAATGTTTTGTTGTCATTTTACCAATTACACAAATATCAGGTAATTCAAGCCCCACTACACATCAAAATATTTGTCCAGGAGATAGTGTCCTCTTCTCGGTTGGCCCTTGACCAACTGCCCTCTCTCCCAATGGAGCATGGACCCTCAATAAACTTGTTCCAAGTCATTCTTGTCCTCTGCTAGCATATCCTATCTCTTCCAAATCTGTTTCATTTTACTCTCTAGTTTCCTTCGCCATGGGTGTTTTCATCTGTCCTTCTCAGTCAGATACTGTGAGTTCCAGAGTAAAGACATTCTGGTGATACTGTTATCAGGTGTTCCTCACCTCTTAATTCACTGGAATAGATTTAGTTCTCTTCCAAAGCTCTACACTAGTAATTATGTTATTCCATTTAATTCCCCCCATTCTGCACAGGCACTAGTTAATGACATTTGTAGTTTATTAACTGTCTTAATTGTTCTTCATGTTTCAGCTTCATGCAACAGTATAGGAGAAAGTGAGAAGAATAAATAAAAATCTATTTCTCTCACTCTATGTGATTGTGTCTGTAAATGTACTTGTGTATGTGTTGTATCTGTGTGTATGTATTGTGTCTGTGTGTATGTGTTGTGTCTATGTGTATGTGTTGTGTCTGTGTGTATGTGTTGTGTCTGTGTGTATGTGTTGTGTCTGTGTGTATGTGTTGTGTCTGTGTGTATGTGTTGTGTCTGTGTGTATGTGTTGTGTCTGTGTGTATGTGTTGTGTCTGTGTGTATGTGTTGTGTCTGTGTGTATGTGTTGTGTCTCTGTGTATGGTTGTGTGTCTGTGTGTATGTGTTGTGTCTGTGTGTATGTGTTGTGTCTGTGTGTATGTGTTGTGTCTGTGTGTGTGTTGTGTCTGTGTGTATGTGTTGTGTATGTGTTGTGTCTGTGTGTTTGGGTTGTGTCTGTGTGTATGTGTTGTGTCTGTGTGTATGTGTGTATGTGTTGTGTTTGTGTGTATGTTTTGTGTCTGTGTGTATGTTTTGTGTCTGTGTGTATGTGTTGTGTCTGGAGAGTATGCATACTTGTGTACATTGTGCTGGCGTGTGTTGTCTGCAAGTCTGTTTTTTGTTTGTATGTGTATATATGATGGGTCTGTGTATATATGTTGTGTCAGTGTGTATGCTTGCCATCTGTGATTGTGTACATGCCGGTTTATGGTGTGTGTGTATGTTGTCAGTGGGAGTGTCATGTGTGTTTGTGTAGGTGTCTGCAATGTATGAATATTTTTTGCATGCATATTTGAAGGTATGCATTTGTCCCCCTTGCTTCTGTACTTTTACTTGACATACATAGTGGGCCAAATGTAAGACGGGCCTGGGTGCCCAATTATTCATTTTCATTCCCGCTCTTTACCAACTTCCTTTTCCCCCATCTATCCAACAGTTCTACCCCGCCCCGTTCCCCCCACCCCACTTTTCCCAATTCTAACATCTATCTTTCTCCCTCAACAATTCCTCCATCACCCTTGTCTGTGCTCAGGAATATCAGAGTTCTTACTGTCTTAAACAGAGACATATTTACAAAGAACACACTTACCAAACTCATTGTTCTCAAAAAAATGAAGCTCATTGTTGACATTCCTGACACAAATGCCCTCATCAGAACTCCATTCTGGCTCCCTGAAAATACATTCACAAATTTTTTTTTTAAATATCAGAGAAATTAATATAACTGTCAGCAAGACCATGTCTGACATACGAAACTGACAACAGGTTATCTCCATAATGGTGTTTCTCAGGAACTGACACCTGTGATTTCATCTCAGATTATTCATCATCCTGTTGTGCTATTTATAGCTCATATAAGGCTCACATGCAATTCCTACACTGTTTGTTCACTTAAAAATCATCTTCATTGCACATTGACATGACCATAAGTGCTCACATCTCCTCCTCAGCATAAACCAAGAGTTTTTAGACTAACAACTCCCATTCTTTTCTAGTCGATGTAATGACAGGTGGTTCTCGAATGGTTTTCCTGTCTTGCTGCTCTAACAGGTATACTCAGGGTATGCAGTCTATTCAGGAACAAAATGATTTTACACAAAGCTGAAAGCTTCACAGAGTTTTGTGTCTCATGTCAATTTCTTCATTCCCCTGTGTGGGTTCCAGGGCCTCATTATGGGGAAAACAAGAATAGACCCACCGCCTCCCCAAAAGCATAAGAGTCGACTAATTGGGAAGCTTCCTTTGAAGTCGGAGTGCATCTGCCGGAGAGGCAAGGAACCAACAGTCTGTATTCAAGAGAATCAGATCTGTAAAACTGATGCACACGCAACACTCAGGTTCTGGAGCAGGACTGCAGTTCACTAGTGGATGAGCAACCAGAACTTTCCGCCAGAGTGTACAGCTGGTGAACGCGAAGAAGAGAAGAATTTCTTCATTCTGTTCTACACTGTGCAATCTTTTAATGCTGTGTGTGTAATCTAGTCCAGCATTTTTGGTATTTCTAAATGTCATAGGGTTTCTTCTTTTAGATGTCCTCACTGCCTCAATCCATTTGTTTTCCATTTCAGTAGATATTTTTGTGATTCTTTGTCAGACAAATGTGCCCAATATACCACCACCTTTTTTATTTATAAGTGTTAACAACAGAAGCTATTCAGATAAACTTCTGATTTCTTAAACTAAGCACATTTGATGTCCATCAGTTTCCTCAAACATTTCTTCTTCTTCTTCGCGTTCACCGGCTGTAAACTCCAGCGGAGGGTTCTGGTTGTTCGTCCACTTCTGGACTCTAGTCCTGTTCCAGAAACTGAGTGTTGCGTGTACATCTGTTTTACAGATCTGACTCATTTGTATGCAGTCAATGGTTTCTTGTCTCTCAGGCAGATGTACTCCGACTTTGAAGGAAGTGCCCAATTAGTTGACTCTTACAACATGCTTTTGGGTGAAAGCCACATGGGAACTCAAAACATTTGACTCTTCACTTCATCACAACCCAAGCCTTGTGACATCCCATAAACTTATTCTTGGGGAAATTATGTGACAGTTTCTCCTTCCTTGCTTTCAACATTCACATAAGTGAATTCAATAGTTTCAAGGACCATCTCAATCTCATTTTGTGAATAAATCCATGTCACAGCCGGTTAGGAAAACTCATGTTAAACAGAGCCAGTTCTAACATACGGTTTTGAATTGTCACAAACTATATCAGATATTTAAATGACAGAAATTTTGATTGTTGGTAGTTTTTATAAATGTTTTTATAAATTTTGCCATTGCTGTGATAAATAGGGCCTACTGTATTATTCCTAGCTGCAAAGAAACCTTTACCCTGCAGATAAATGTTACTTGTTGGTATGAGGTTGATCTCATTAAGTGCTGATCTGTCTATACAAGCTGAGTTGAGTCAAGAACTGACATCACAGCACTCAGGGCATTCCCATGCTTGCTCCATTCTCATCCTCAGCAGCCAGCGCAGAGTTCCAATACTGATGGTACAGGTGCCAATCTGGTTAAAGGTCCGTCTTGCCTTTCCTCTGAGTGTAGTGAGCCGGCCAGACCCTCTGGTTATACCCAGGTGCCTCATTCTCTCCAGGCCATAATAATCTTCTTTCTCTACTGATTCCGTCACTTTTTCCAAAAGGGTCCTGACCCCATAAGTCTTGTCATGTATCAATTTACCACCCAGTGGCGCGGATTCAGCCAATCTGTTTGCCTGTTCATTACCCACCCCGAAGGCATAGCCTGGAGAAAAGATCTAAAGTATGCTCACAAATAAGGGATTAGCACCATATGTCTGACGGGTGTCAACGAAATGGGTCCTTTACTTACTATATGTCATATACAGAAATATATAAATGGGGAGCCCATGAGGCTGTAGAAACATAGATAATAAACATACAGACAATGTACTGATCTGTCTTCTTTATGTCCTCTTTTACCACTTCGGGTGTCAACGAAATGGGTCCTTTACTTACTATATGTCGTATACAGAAATATATAGATGGGGAGCCCATTAGGCTGTAGAAACATAGATAATAAACATACAGACAATATACTGATCTGTCTTCTTTATGTCCTCTTTTACCATTTCGGGTGTCAACGAAATGAGTCCTTTACTTACTATATGTCGTATACAGAAATATATAGATGGGGAGCCCATGAGGCTGTAGAAACATAGATAATAAACATACAGACAATGTACTGATCTGTCTTCTTTATGTCTTCTTTTACCACTTCGGGTGTCAAGAGAGATATAAGGTCCTGCTTCGTGCTCTTCTAGCTGCTTCGACCATAGACACATTGTGGTGCTTTAGACCTTCTCTGATGTTATCTTTCCATCTAGTTCTTTGCCTACCTCTTGCTCTATGCCCCTCTCCTCTTTTGGTGTATGCCCTGTATGGTATAGCCTCTGTAGGAATTCTCTTCAAGTGATATGTACTCATTGAAAGAAGTGGAAAAGTAGAAGAACAAACAAGACTTCGTCAATTATGTTGTTAGGGTTTCCTTCTATTTTTCGACTTCTTTGTATGCAACAGTCAGGCTCTGGGACAGGACTACAGTCCAGAAGAGAATGAACAACCAGAACTTTTCGCCGGGGTTTACAGCCAGTGAACGCAAAGAAGAAGAAAAAAAACAATTGTCACTCAACGATGTTCACAGTTTATTAGGCATGTATCATAAGGATACTAATGAAATCTGTCTCTAGGCCCCAGTCACATGCTACTTCACTAAATGATTAACTGTTTCATCCCAATCACCTGCTTCTTCACTAAAGGATTAACTGTTTAATCCCACAGGATGTGGTCATCTGAGATACAGCACTAACTGACTTAGGCATTATTGTCAGTACACACATTTATCTATTATGGAAGTATGCTGGCAGCTCTAGCTGGTATTCTGTTGCGGCAGATTTGCACTCAGTCGACTCACCTTTCTGAATGGATGCTCACAAGAAACGACACTTCAAATGAATTTTGCAACAGACAAATCTCACAATCAGTCCATATGCTTGGGGTCAAGTGCAACAAATCTTCTTTTTCAGTGATATCTCATCATGCGCATAATCCACTGTGTAACATAAACTGGGATGTCATCTCAAGTTATCTTAGGTCTCCCCGAAACTTAGTTGTCAGTTCTACTGAGTGTTGCCATCTGTTGCTTTACAGCTCTGCCAAGAGAAAACAGTTCTGCAAGACATACTTCTGGAGTCTGTTCAGCCTGAAGACACTGGTAGAGAGCTGTTTGGCTCATACCTAATTTTTATGAGTGTTTGTTGAGTCCCAGTATGTGAGCGGAAAAACTGTGACTTGGTCCAATGAATGATTCACATTCTCTCCTTCTTGCTTATCTTTGACTGCACTTACCTTATTTGATTATTTTTGCTCAAACATTCACTCTTCCCATGGAATTCATTTCTCAACTCTTCCTTGCCTTGCACATAAAGGGTTGCCCTAACCGATATCCTACTACTATGAGAACCTGTCAACGCTTTGCTGTCCTCATTTTCTTCACATTCACCGACTGTAAACTCCAATGGAAAGTTCTGGTTGTTAGCCCACTTCTGGACTTTGGTCTTGTATTTATATGGAGATGACAGTTCCTTTGATTTCAAAGGAAACAAGCCTACTTAGTCACCTCTTATGACAAGATTGTTAGGGCCCAGTGGGTCTATTCTTGTTTTCCCTAAAAAAGAGCCCCATAACAAATACTGAAAGAAACATAATTAAAACTCCTAATGTTGTTGTATCATTATACTATTAAAAGAACTAATTCACAAACTTAAAGTCACATATGTGGAGATATATGAACACCCATTTCATCTGGCAAGGTACATTTTGTTAGTGTCTCTGTTCAATTTTTCCCACATTCTGGACTTTGGTCTTGCTTACACAAAAGTTTTGAGTTTTGCATGCACTTGAGGGCAATCACTTTTGGCACGCCAAGATCTTGAATAACCTTACACACACACACACACGTTTTTTTTTCCTAACACAAAAGATACTTTTAATCAGAAGTAGTGGCCTGCAGTGTTGTATCTGGAATTAAATGTGCTTTTTTTATGGGGAGGACATGGAATCATATGTATGTGACAGCACAGAGCATAACCACAGTGCAGGTTAATTCATGGCCTCAGTTCCACTGAAGGAAAAACAAAGAAGAAGAAAACTGAGAACTGAATACCCGACCATTGCTTTAGTAGACTTAAAATATATTACATAATGATGTTGTGCATACAGCGATGTATGCAGGTGGGACATGAATGATACAGATACTGAGGTAAATTCGTGGAGGGAGAAATCAGGACGGGAATAGAAATAAAGGAAAGAAATGATTGCAGAAAGGTTAAGAATTGAGCATCTGAAAAGAATCCATTAAATACATGTGATGGCCAACAATAGTTATGAAACCCCATTCTCGTCTTCTTCACGTTCACCAGCTGTAAACTCTGGCTGTTCATCCACTTCTGGACTGCAGTCCTGTTCCAGAACCTGAGTGTTGCGTGTGCATCCGTTTTACAGATCTGACCCATCTGTATGCAGACTGCTGGTTCCTTGCCTCTCAGGCAGATGCACTCTGGCTTTAAAGGAAGCTCCTAATTAGTCGACTTTTGCGACATGCTTTTGGGTAGGCAGTGGGTCTATTCTTGTTTTCCCTATAACAGAGCCCCGGAACCCACACATGGGGATACCCCATTCTGAAAATGTGGCAGACTTTTCTCAACTCTTTGAGTCCCAAGGAACGCATCATACGTTCATAGGTTACTGCCTAGAAGCCCAATGAACGCAAGATGGGCCAATTTTACGTCTCTTTTGACTACCCCATTGGGTCTGTGATGCTCAACCCTCTGGGACTCAAAGAGTTAATGTGGGCAGGTCTTGCTAGTCACACTCACCATCGCCATTCCCTAGCCTGGCCATAGCACAATATAACACTATCGTCTGGAAAGACAAAAGGCTGCCAACAAACAAATAAGGACACTGGTGTAGACTGACACGGTTACCTTCATTCATAACAATAAGGATAAAAATATATTTACATGGGAGACAAAGACGTCCAATGTTACATGAATATTATCAGTATTACCTTTCAGCATTGCACCAGGCAAACAATGATCCATCATCTGAGAACACCATACACTTGCAGCTGTTGGTCTTGTCACTGTTGATTCCAAACAAACAGTAATATTTCTTTTGTGTTTACCTATTTAGTCTTAGTAGAGGTTTTAACTTCCCTACAAAAAAGTTATCCCATACTTGCTCTGTTCCTGTACTAGTGAAAATTAAATGACATGTCCCTGACTATCCCATTTGAAAAAACAAACTGGTGAACAAACAACTAGTCCCGGCACAATCCAGAAATATATGCACGCAGTAAATGCATGTTAGTTGCTAGAAGCACAAAAACCAGCAGTTGCCACCAGAAAGGCAGTATGCTGTCGCTGAAAGTAGTCGGGCACGATAATTTGGCTATACACACATAATTATCACATAAAGTTTTTCACCAGCCGACATGTAAACCGGCTACCGGCCATATTGAACACCCCGACTCAACCGCTGCACAGAATTAAACATGAAAATCACAGCTCACAGGGTTGCACCAAGTACTAAACAGTGCTACCTTCTATGTGTGGAAACTGCATTAGCAAAGCACTGTTGAAAGCAAAAATAACTTTGAAGCTCAACATTTCTGCCATACCTGATCCTCCATTTTAGACCACAAGTCCATTTACCTGTTTATATTTATATAAACCAAAAGTATATATATATATATTATATATACCAAAAGGTAGACTATGTGGATTGGTTTTAAGAATCTATACTAATACAGCATAAATAGATCTTTACCCACACAGGAAATGAAGTTTACACCAAGCTGGTGTAGCCCGTTAAGAGTTCCAAAACTATAACTCATCCACCAAGTGCCATTTGGTCTATAAAACTGAGGTCTAGCCCTATATACCCAATACGCCTGAAAGGCATGGAAAAGGGTCCTTTACTTTTACTTACATATATGGACAAATTGAGTGTGCTGTAGGTTTCCTAGGATTTAATCAAAACATCTACAAACAATTACAAGAGCAGACAAATAGACACAACAAGATTTCATCATCACATTCACTGAATAAATAACAAGTACATACATGGATGTCACAGGCTCGGCACTAAATTTGGCCCCATCCACTGTCCAAATGCCTTGAGCGCCACGAACTAGACAAGAAAATAAAACATCATTTACCATGTTATTTTTTTATAACAAAATAAAGTTGAAAAGTACAGTTTTTCTTGTTTTAGCTCCCAAAGGAGCATAGACCCTCAACCTATGGAGGTCAAATCCTTTGTAGACTTGTTCCTAGCTATTCCACCAGAAAGGCAACATATCAAGACATCAGGTATTGAAAGCTAGAGGTTTTACATGATCATTCTTGAAAACCCTAAAAAAAGAGACATAATAAATTTACAGGCGATATCAAAGCACGCACATGGTGATTCCAGAATGTTAACTTTTATTCTTTGTTACAGCAAAGAAACAGGAAACTACAAAGAATCCTTTTAAGTAACTGAGCTCAGGTTCAAAACTATGCTATGGAATTTAGCACCATGGAATCAGAACGCAAACTATGTCTAAAGAGTAATATAACTTGCCTATTCAGACAGAATCACGCAAACTTATGAACAAGTTCCTGTCTAGCTTCGGCCAGAGTCGGTCATAATCTGAGATTTTCAGAGCAGCTGCAACTTAAGAAGTTCAGTATCAGAGAAGATTGCATATCCCTGCAAACTGACAGTTCTAGCTGAAAGGTGATAATGAGCATAGCCAGACTAGATGGTGCCACAGTGATGTAGTATTACAGCATAATATGTAACTAAAGAGGTGGAGCTTTGAAATTATGTGGACAAGGTCTCTTAGATAGAAAGACATCAGAGCAAGGTCACTGTTGCATCAAGAAAGATACATCTGCGCAGCCTGACAAAGTCATCAAAAGCAGCTACCTCAGACAGGTCAGGTCCAATTCATGGTATGCAGCTCAGCTACACATTTAGTGACCTTTTATTCATACTTGCTAAGGTGAGTCTATGTGGCAGTGGTGCGAGGTTGTCCTGTCTTAAAGTACATCAATGCTGATGTCCCCTATTCTATACTACACGGTGACGCAGCTTTTAACGTCCCCAGAATACCTACACCTGGTCCTGGGCCAAACCCGCCCCTAGATACAGGCTGAACCTAGGTCACACGAGAAAGTCAACAGTACAACACATGGCTCACTAAAGCGACTGAAAACGCAATAGCAGCGGATGATGTTGGCAGGCTCGCCATTAAGACACAACAGAGACAGGTGTTCCAGAACAGAGGCAGATGTACTTTGAGCGCTAAATATAAAATGCATTCCGGCAGCACTCTCTTGTCGGACGTAGGTTCATGCTGTGGGGTAAGGGGTTGGGATTAGAGCCAGTTGCAGTTTGTCTGATGTGCAGCTGCTCATACATAGTAACAAACAATAAACACGAAACGCAAAAGGTTGAGAGTGTTTGTGTGGTAAGTGGGCTGGCTGGGTTTCTCAAAATAGGGCGGGGAGACCACGCGATCCGACACAGATTAGCGTCGCTGTTATCCTTAAATTTTTTGCATGCGCTAAACGCGGTTAAACTCACCGCCGACAGTATCTCCCGCACCGCTATGCGTGGATGGGTATCTAAACTAGATGCCTGGGACTCACATACAAATAAATTGGAGGAAGTTGCAGAAGATGCAGTAGCTGCTGCTCGTGAGTCCCAGCCATCTAGTTTAGCTCCCCATCCACGCAGCAGCGCGAGGGATACTGTTGGCGGTGCGGCATAGTCGCAGAAACAGGTCCACAATTAACATATCGCTGAGACCCTGTTAGAGCATTTGTTTGCCCTCAATAATACTGGCCCGTTATTAGGAGCCGATCCTAGTTTTGCGCGATTTGTTCCTCGGCAGGGACTCCGCATTTTGCATAGGACTGGGACCCTGTTAGGGTATTTGTTTGCCGCCATAATATGGGGGGAAGATCGAAGGAGAACCTAATTATCGGCTATCCTCCGAAGAACGGTCCCAAATTATCGAGGCCAAAAATATACCCTATTGTGGACCTCCTGCAACTTAAATTGGGCACTTAAGGCGACTACCGCCACCGGCGAGAGTTTAGCCCGGCTCCATGCCACGCGTTGCGGCGTGGGAGATACTCGTGGCGGTTTGTCGCCGGACGTCTGCAATATACATGTACTGAGGCCCTGTTAGGGTATATTTTCGGCCTTGATGACAAGGGACCGTTATTCGGAGGATAGCCTAATTATCTTTATAACTACTTGCTTACAGTTACAGTACTACAGTGCATGCTGGACAGACACGACTGACTGGTGAGGCTCGTCAACAGTGGCTTCTTTATGTCCCGAAATGCATAGGATGGCAGTTTCTATTTTCCACAGCATATTTCATGAGTCCATTACAATTACGACTAATGTGTTGGACTCTGCTGCTCTAAAACCACCAGAAAGCTGCCATTACCTGCCCCTAGTTCCATTCTCATTCTCAAAGTTGTGAATGTCGAATGTTATATTATATATGATGCATAGTTCTCTGTTTTCAAACAGTTCTATTCATCTTCAGCTGGTGCAATGATGTCTGTTTCACCAGCTAACTTAACTATTTCTGGCACCCTGGGTCCAAGGCGGCTAACAGCCGTCTGTGCAAGCATGCTTTGCCGGGCGGCCCATTCCTCACTGTGACCATGCGCTATCTTGTCAGTAACACGAACACTTCTGCTCGTGACGTCTGCCGGTTCCATCCACGAGCCACCTTTTTTCAGCTGATATCCCTTGGTAACGAAGGTGTTCCCTCTCCGTTGCGACTTCAATGCACATTTTTACTTTGTATTAGTGTACAGGTGGGATTCACGTGCTGCTAATCAGGCTAATCTATTGAGTTCCTCAACCCCTCAACTAGGCTCAACTTTGTTGTTTCGGGCCAGATATTTAAATAATTCTGGAATGTTTAATTAGCTTTCAATGTTTTTGTTTAAGAATGTGTTTTTATTTCTTGGTATCATTAACATTGTGGGATGAAATAATGACAGAAAGAATATAAACATAACAAAGTACATAAAATATTGAACACGACTCACGGTACATGGGCGCCGCCATTTTTCTAATATGACTCCGTAGAAACAAAAATGCAGACAAGTTAAAAGGCGTCGAAAGTGAGAAATGGGTTCAATATTTAAAATCCTTTCATTGCTCGTTAAAGATGATGAATACTGTTAATGCGACCGCTGAACCAGTAAAATGACGGTTAAACATTTGCTGAAAGCGTGACCAACGAACACGGGCAAAGAAAACTATTTTGACATACACTATTACTGAATTACTTTATGCGGGCAAACAATTCATTTTGAAATGTTAAGTACACCTCAACTGATTTTTTTTTCAACTTCTTCTTCTACTGCGTTCGACATCAGTCATGCTAAACATTTGAGTCCCGTCTGGGTCACAAATAGGATTGTGCGGTCGCCACCAGTCCCCCATAGCTTATCTAGCAATGTGGATCCCCTGGGCTAGATCCAGTCTTTGCTGGGAGAGGTAAGGGCAGTACTGCAGTATGCGCTCAGGGGTCTGTCTTTCTGCTCCACAATCACAGGCAGCAGATTCTTTTATGCCTCACCTGTACAGGTGTGCTCGAAGACCACAGTGTCCAGACCGAAGTCTAAAAATTGATGTTTGTTCTTTCCTGTTGAGTTTGTTTATGCTGTCACTCTCTGGTCTGTAATCTCCATTTTGCCTTCTCCACTCCCACTTGAAAGACTGCTTTAGCGCTGTTTTGGTTTCCTTGTAGCTGTGTGATGGATGAGGTTGTGGAAGATTACTCCCAGCTTTTGCCAACTCATCTGCTCTCTCATTTCCTTGAATACCACAGTGGGCTGGTATCCACTGCAAAACCAGTTCTGCTTCCTGGAGAGTACCAATGTTGGTCCTTAGATCTGCAATTAGTTTGTCTTGTTTTTTGCTTGATAGTGCTTGGAGAACAGACAATTAGTCACTAAGTATAACAATTGTGTGCCCTCTGTGTTCTTGAGTGATGAGATGTTGGACTGCAGAAGTTAGTGCAGATGTCACCTGCTGGTAGAGAGAGAGTTTCTGCTCTACTGCTAGGGGGTTTAATGTATATTCCACAACCCCCTTTTTGGCTGCATCTGTAGCAGAGCCGTCGGTGAAATGATTAAGATTGATATCTGAAGGTGGAAGACGATTATGGTGAATGAAGCGGCGACGCAAAAGGATATAGAGTAGGAGGAGGGAAGAAAAAGAATAAATTAAAGCCTATGATAGTGATTATCCATGAAATGAAAGATGCGCGTGTGGTAGAAGTTCCCTAAAACCAAACCCAGTGGATGTCTGAGGTGAAATAGATTGTCCCTGTATTCACAGAGCAACGGCCCTAACTTAGCATGCATGTCACTGAAATCATAACAAATTCTAAGCCTCGAAAGTGATCAACGGCAATGATTTCGCAGTTTTCAGTCCATAAAATATATTTTGATGAGACTCAGTGGGAGCTTGTATCTCGTTTCTCGGTCCACATTGCACCTGGTTCCCCAGTTCAACTTACTTTTGGGAAGCCGTTCACGACAGGTCAGTATGACCTGAGATTTTCCTAACGTAGGGTGGATGTTAATCACGCTAATCCACGGGAAAACATTACATCTGTGACGGGGTCTTGTCGCTTTATGTTCAAGTCTCTTAAGTTGATATAGAAACGCTGAATTCTTTTTGAAGCTAGAACCCTCTTACTCCAAACACAGCTGCAAGATACATACACCAGGTGTGTGTGGCCGTTACAGGTTTTCCAGTTATGACTTCTTCAGAGGTTGAATGGGGTATCGTTTCCATCCATAAAAGTATTCTTGAAATCTCAGAGGTGACCGCACCTACAGGTAGTAGCCTAGATTGGGGGGGGGGGGGAGGGAGATCCAGCCTCGGCTGCGCACTTCTCCGATAACAATTGAATGGGAGTGAGTGACAAGACTATCATATGTTAATAACATTCTTATGTATCGACGTGGACGAGATGGTCATAAGATTGCCAGTGCAATGCAGAGCGAAGTTAATCCCATGTCCTCCTGTTGTGGCGATCCAAGACACATGTCAACCCTTCACATGCACCAATAACACGGTTTTTCTGGAACACGTATGCCTATTAGTGGTGGAGATCACTGGTAAAGTTTTGACAAGAACCCATCGGATGATGTATATCGGAGTTGGGTTCGACTGCAGTCTGTCCTTCAAAGAACAAGCTGACTACGTGAAAACAAAAACACGCAAAGGCCTGTCAGTAATGAGGGTCATGGTGGCCGCTAGCATCGAGCAGCGACTGCTTCTGCTTCTATTGTTAGTACTGGTTTTTCCTCTCATCTCCATGTCACATATACTCAGAATGAAATACTTGAAGAGGTCAGGAAAAGAAATAAAACCATAAGCATTATTCTAGGGTGCACAAGAGACAACTCTCGTGTATCTCGAATTTCCGCCCGGCTCTCTAGCATAGTTGGCTAAACCGGATTGCGCGGTGACCGGGTGACGAACTCCTTGTGGTCCGGGTTCACTCCAGGGGGTAGACAGAAAAGCCACATTTCTCCTAGATTTACGGTATTTACAATGGAATCAAGGCCGAAAGGTTGCGATATCCAAAATACCGAGCCTAAGGGTTAACAGCTCGTGGCTTCTGGATACTAAAACAAACAACATCTCGAATTTCCAACCATTGACCACAGGATTCAGATTTGGGGAACTCACTATAACCTAAAAACACGCTCAGGTCTGAAATACCCTTTGCACCAAACGTGCTGTTCGACCCACAAAAAAAAAAAAAAGGAAATGGGATAAACGGATACATCAGGGCTAGGTGTGGTAGTAGATATTCTCAAAACAGGTTTACACTACAGACTGACATCAACACGACTAGGGGTCGATAAGTTTAGTTCAAGCGCTCAACTATGTTGTTTGATGGGAACTGCCGGGAACAGAACCACATTGCTCTCAATGCAGAGGCCCACACGCTTATCAGTGAGACAGAATTACTTCACAGACGGATTTGTTGGACAAGGACCAAAAAGTGCATATCCATTCACAGTACGGTTTGCAAGTGGAACTGCCCAGGAGGCAAGCTGTATATTCTCTATGACTACTAGCAGGATGAAGAAGTGAAGAAGGGAATCATAGAAGTGACGCAAGCTTTCCTGGGGCTGGAATAACAGTTCTATTACAACCTGTATTTGCTGAGTGATTCCATAAACAGAATCCGGCGGCGGGTAAAGGCAGGAGCTGTACGCAGATAGGAATAAACTCACAGGGAGCAAGTACAGCGGGGATCTACAGTCATCAGTAGAAATTATCCTCTTTCGACACACGTTTCGGCCCACGATTCCTAAACGTATTCGGAGGTGGGCCCACCTGAGTTCATGAAGCTCAGGGCTGCTTCCCCGCTGCACAGAATTACCGGATGGTGTTATTATTTCGGCCAGAGACAAGACGACTTAGTGGTTTCGAAGGAGGTACTGTGAGATAAGAAGTCGCCGCGACAGCGTAATTAAAACAGTCCGCATGCCTGGACGACCGAGCGACAAGCTTACTTTGGTTTACCGGACACATGTTGGACATTTATTAGCAGTTGGCAGAGGGACACTGGCAGACAATTCGTACACGATGGACTTTTCAAAGGGATGAGAAACTCCTTTCCGCTAGACACCCGGACCAGTTCACCGAGGCCCGTCCCCTACGTTGTTGCGCTGCGTCCAAAGCCAGCTAGACGCCCTTTCGGCCACCTCTCCCAGTTTTTTGAGTGTTCGTTTCCGTTCATTACCGCGCAATCATAATTCTTTTACCACATTGTAGAGCGAAGTGGAAACGAGGCCTCTCGCTCCCACTTCGACGGCAAAAACCGGTACTGTGTAAGCCTCGTTTCTCCTCAAACCGGCTGCTAAATCACTGTACTTTTCGAGCTTGTACAAATGATTCTCCTCCATACGCGACTCAAACGGGACCGTCAACCCAATCAGGATGAGCTGCCGTTTTTGCGCAGAATGGAGAACGATGTCCGGTCGCAGGCCGGTTTTACGGATCAACTCGGGATACCGTTCATGTCCTGGCAGATCAACCGCCAGTAACCAGTCCCTCGCGGAGTCTAGCACGGATGGAGCGAATGCGTTTTTGTTGACCTTACCAATTGGAACCTGCCCAGCCTTGAGGAAACGAATGGGGGCGATACTAGAACTGGCTCTGGCGTTAGCCCTCATTCTAGCCTGGTCGACAACGGCTGCTAACTCCTTTAGCACCTTGTTGTGGCGCAAGGTATATCGGCCTTGACCTAGGGCTTTCCTGCACGCGGACAGGACGTGCTCAAGAGTTTGCTTTGATTTGCACAACGGGCAAGTCGGATCGTTGGTCGCAGACCATTTAACCATATTAACACCGGACGGTAATACATCGTACGCCGAACGAACGATAAAGCTCAGTCGCAGCGGGGTCATCCGCCAGATCTCACCCCATGTGAGTACTCTTGGCAATGCGCTCTCCAGGCTGACCCAATGGCCCTGCTGCGACTGTTGGGCTGCTTTCTGAACCCGAACCTCGTTTTCGTTGTCCCTCACCGTTTGTATCACCATGTCTCGGCGTTCTTTGGCTGAGGCCTTTGACCACCAATTGACTTTCCCGTGCCCTAGGCCTCGGCGGTCGGTTTGTGTGTAACCCATGATCTCTCTCAATTTTAGTGCGTTCTGAGCAGATTCGATCGCATCGAGGACCCTCCACTTGGTACCAGTCTTTAGAGCGGGCTGGACAGCGGTGACATTTGGGTCTGAAGACTCGCGCAGAAGCATGGCGAGCCTAACTTTGCCGACTTTAAACTCTTCGGTTATTGACTTGAACGGAAGTACTAGCTTAGCCTGTTTACAATAGAGAGCCACGTCGGTCAGACAAGGCGGTGCTCCAATCCACTTTCTTAAGGCTGTGTTGATTTTCTTCTCCATGGCTTCAACTGCAGTCATCGTCACCTCGTAGACTAGCAGTGGCCATAGGAGCTTTGGAATCAACATGAATTGGAGACACCATACCTTGAATTTTCCGATCAGCCTGCATCGCTCGATCGCGAG